GACGGACAGACGGACAGACGGACGGACAGACGGACGGACAGACGGACAGACAGACGGAAATGGGAGACCTATTTCTTCGTCTTCTAGGGGTCATGAAAGATCGAGAAAACGTAAAAGTAGAGAGTCGGCCGACGGACTCGATTACAATACTTCCTTTGCTTACGCTCGGGAAGTAATTAAACAATTTAAAAATCGAAACATCAAGGAAAACAAAAAATTAACGGAACATCTAGAACTTAAAAATTGAAAAATTAAAATATCTATCGAAAAATTGAAAAACCGAGAAATCGAAACATCAAAAAATGGAAAAATTGAAGAACCGAAACATTGTAAAATCTCAGAACTGATATACTGAAAAACTGAAAAATGGAAGGAAAATTGAAAAATCGAAAAAGTGAAAAAATTCAAAACTGAAATCTTGAAAAACTGAAAAATGGAAAGAAAATTGAAGAATCGGAAAAGTGAAAAAATCCAAAACTGAAACATTGAAAAATCCAAAAATCGTAAAATTGAAAAATCACAATTGAAGAAGGAATTGAAAAATCAAGAAATAGAGAAATGGGAAAATCAAAAAAATTTAAAAATTGAAAAATCGAAAAATTTAGAAACGTCAAAAATTAAAAACTGAAAAATAAAAAAATTTTAAATCGTAAAACTGAAATATCGTGAAGTTAATAAATTGAAAAACTGAAAATTTTTGAAAAAAAAATCGTATCAAAAACTAAAAATTCAAAAAATCGAGAAATTGAACAATCAAAAAATCAAAACATTGAAATCCCAGTAAGGTGATAAATAGGAAAATTTAAAAAACAAAAATTTTTAAAATCCAAGAATTGAACAACAAAAAAAATCTAAACCTGAAAACTCAGAAAATTGAATGATCGAGAACAAAAAATCTAACATTTAAAAATTCGACAAATTGAAAAATCATGGAACTGAAAAATCGAAAAGTCGAGATAGTGAGAAATCTAAAAGCCTAAAACTTTAAAAACTGAAAAATTAAAATATCGAAAAATTTAAAAACCGAGAAAACACAATACCAAAAATTTGAAAAATTGAAGAAACAAAATATTGCAAAATTCCAAAGCTGAAGTATTGAAAAACCTAAAAATGGAAGGAAAATTAAAGAATCGAAAAAGTGAAAAAATCCCAAACTGAAACATTGAAAAATTGAGAAATGGAAAAATGGGAAAATCAAAAAAATTAGTCTAAAGAGTTTAGACAGTACGTCCCTCGCTATCGGAAACGTGACGACTGCATGCCTATTATGTTTTTTTTTCACATTAGATTTCAAAGCATTCGGTTTTGTAGTTCCTGATTAAATCAATAAAATAAATTTGCGCATTCATTAAATTTTTTGAGTCACCCTGTATATCCGAATCCAAAAAATATGAATGGAATGATAAATTACAAGAAGAGACTCATCATATTTTGTAAATTTTAAATAGGATTATACGGCAAACTTTTGAGCTGTCATCAATTTTTTGGAGGGGATAAGCAAATATATTTGGACTAAAAATTTATTATGCTCGTTATAACCTTAAAACATTTGCAAGATTTCAAAGCATTGAGTTTTGTAGTTCCTGATTAAATCAATAAAATAAATTTACGCATTCATTAATTTTTGGGGTCATCCTGTATATGTAAATCCAAAAAACATGAATGGAATGATAAATCACAAGAAGAGATTCATCATATTTTATACAATTTAGATAGGATTTATTCAGCAAAATTTTGAGGTGACGTCATCAATTTTTTAGAGGGAATAAGTAAATATATTGTGATTAAAACGGTCCTGGTTTAATAACAAAAAAATATTATTCGTCTATAAAACAAGCTCGTCTTAGACAAAGTATTCGTAAAAAAATATGTCGTAAAAAAATTTACGTATGCTGGTCCCGACTGCGATTATAGTTTAAATATTTTTTAGAAAATCCTGTCATGGATGTAGAAACATTTGGGACAGCCAAAGAGGTTTTTTTGAGAAAATTATCTTTGAATTTAGACCAAATTTAAATAGACACTAGCCAACAAGCACATTTAGGCAAAAGAAAGAGAAATTAGGGTTACACGTGTTTTTGAGTATCGTGTTGTTCAAGGAATTCTATGTATATTAATCAAAAAAGCCAAAATATAACCCCACCCCCCCACCCACCCCATCTCAATTGTGATGATTTTTTTATTCTTAGAAACTTTAAACACTGTCAAAATAATAAATATTTGTAAGGAAATATGGATTTTGTAATTAGGCACCGCCCCGAAGTCTGCCAACGAATGAAAACTTCATTACTATTTAGATCAGGACAGGTATGGGTGGAGCCTCATCTTTGGCTTTATTTTTTTCTGAATATACATACTCGTAGTATTTCTTGAACAAAAGATGTTTTTAATGTCTCGTTAAGAAATAAGGATTCTGCAGGTAAGTTCTGCCCCTTGTCTCACGACGAATAAAAAAAAATCATCAGAATAGCGATAGGGCGGGTGGGCGGGGCTTATATTTTGCCTTGTTTTTTTTTCTTAATATACATAGCCATCTTTTCATAACAAGAAACTTAAAACATGTTTAAAATGGTACATTTTTGCAAAGAAATATGGATATTTCTTTATACAAATTTTCCATTTTAAACATGTTTTAAGTTTCATGTTGTGAAAAGAAGTCTACACATATTAAAATAAAGAGGCAAAATGTAAGCCCGCCCACCCGCCCTGTCTCAATTGTAATGATCTTTTTTATTAGCCGTTAAGCAAGGGGGCGGAGCTTAACTGCAAAACACCTATTTCTTTGCAAGAAATTAAAAACATGTTTTTGAGTATCGTGTTGTTCAAAAAATACCATGTACATTAAGATAAAGCGGCAAAATTTAAACCCCGCCCACCCACCCCGTCTCAATTGTGATGATTATGATTTTTTTATTCTGAGAAACTTAAAACACTTTGAAAATGGTAAATTCTTGTAGATAAATATGGATCTTGCAATTAAGGCCCGCCCCTCGATCTAAGAACGAATTGAAAAATTCATCACAATTGAGAATTGAGATTGGGGCGGGTATTGGTGGGGCCTAATATTTGACATTATTTTTTTCTTAATATACATTATATTCTGTGAACAATACGATACGCGAAAACATGTTTTTAATTTCTCGTAGAGAAATAAGGATTCTGCAGTCAAGCTCCGCCCTCTTGGCTCACGACGAATAAAAAAATCATCACAATTGAGACAGGGTGGGTGGGCGGGGCTTATATTTTGCCTTTTTTTTTCTTAATATACATAGCCATCTTTTCACAACAAGAACTTAAATCATTGTTAAAATAGTGCATTTGTGAAAGGAGATTGTAAGCCCGCCCACCCACCCGATCTCAATTGTGATGATTTTTTTTATTCGTCATAAATCAAGGGGGCGGAGCTTAACTGCAAAATATTTTTTTTCTTTACAAGAAATTAAAAACATATTTTTGAGTATCGTATTGATCAAGGAATACTATGTATACTAATCAAAAAAGCCAAAATATAAGATAATAATATAGAAACACTTAGCTACTTATACGTGTTAAACAAAAGCTGTATTTTATATATTTTTTATTATTATTATAAATATGTTTATTAGTTTTATTAATTAAGAAAGCAAAATATATATTACCAATAATATTACAATGAATTTTTAGTAATCATGTGTATTGAATTCAGGATCCTGAGTGGAGTAAAAATATTATAGTTCCCCAGTTTTAATTCGGTTTTATGATAGTACCTCATTGCGTAAAAGTTAATTTCCTTAACAATAGATTACTACGGCCGGTCCTGGCGGCTTGTTATAAAACTGAGTTCCTTGCCATAAATTAGAAAAATCAGCCGAAAACTCTAACAATCAGCTTATGGTAAAGCAGGCGATAAGGGTTTTACCTGAAAGTCGCTTCCGTAAATTTTAGTGGCGCTCCTATCGGCAAAGTACTGAACTAACTGCTCAAATTCTGTCGAATTGATGCCCATTTTTTTCAATAACTGTTAGTTTTGGTTAAAAACTCTGCTAACCAATAGATCATTAATTTTCTTCTGATATTCCTGTTAAAATTATTCGACGTATTTTGCATTAATTTGTGGTATATTTTGATTTTAATAAACACATTATTATTTAAACAAATTGTACCACTAACAAACATTTAATGATTCTGCGCCCTGTAAAAAGTGATGTTTTATCCATGCGCGAATTTTCAAGCGATTCTATGATGGTTATGACTCAAAAAACTTGAAAAGAAAACATAAAATGGTGCTTTTTTACGATATTTCTCAGCCATATTTTTTTAGTTGATTGAACTGGCCTCTGCGCCCTAGAATATGAAAAAAGCTGCAGTTTGATGTATGACAAAAAAATATTGTACCTCGTCTAGCGAGTCCCCTTAAGATAAGATTGATTTTAGTAAATGACATGCCCCAAGAAAAAAAAAGGGTGGGTGGGCGGGACTACTGCTTGCTCGTATAACTAGAAAAATTGATCGAAGATTACTTTGACAGAATTTCCCTCGCTCATAAAGTACAGCTTGTCAAATCCAGCTCTTTCGAAAAATGAAAAGATTTGATTTTGCGAATTTTATTGTTTTGTGGCAACCATTTTAAGCTAAAATAAAAATATGTATCTAATGTTTGAGTGAAAACAGAAATTAAACTAAAAAGATGTTTTCTATGAATTGCTATAACCGGATCACAGTGCCGACGGTCCCGACTTTTTAATTGCTCTGACTTCCACTTTTTGTTGTAATTCACATTTGGTTAATTATAACTTGTCTAGATCTAGGGGAGGCTCAGCATCCCCCTATCTACGGCCTTGTCTAGGCGTTATGAAATATCGAGAGTAGTCTAATATGTGTAGCTTTTTGACTCAGATTATCCTAGTTTTCTTATCTGTCTAATTAAAATCGGGACGGCAGACAGACAGACGGACGGACTCACTCGATTACGCTCGGGAAGTAAAAAGTTACGATGTAGTGAAGTCTTAATCGTCTTGTAGGAAAATTATGGAGGAGCTGGAACCCCAAGGGAGGGCGCAGCACGAGTGCAACGTAATTTTTTTCACGCCCGGACAGTACAAGATCGACATTCAATGTTCGTCGCCCGATAACGCCACAACGGTCCCTTGTTTACCCTCAAACGGTCACGTTTGGAGGTTCACGCCGCCGGTGAATGTACTTGTAAATTGACTTAAGTAGGATTAGGTGCTAGCTATATTGTAAACAATACACTTACGCATTCGAAAAGACGTCTCATTCCCCCTCACACACACCGGGTCGGGGTTATGCAAAAACGCCGCGCTCTATGTACAATAGTTTTATTTATACTTAAATACATAAATACAGTTTTCAACAAAGAATGCCAACTTTTATAAAGAGCGATATTCTGAAGTCTCCACAACGCGACAAACGATAAATGAACAGGAAATGTATCCTCCAAAACCGTTCCCCTCGCGTAAACTCAACCTTAAATGCAAAAATATACAGATGGAGGGATCCCGACTTACACGAACGGCCAAGTTCTGGAAGACATGAAATGACTTGCTACGGTACACCTCCCGAACTCATGAAATGAATGACGCACTTAACCTATAATAACTTAGAGGATCATCGTTTCGGGGTCTTCTATGAAGGAACGCAACCATTTCAGCCACTGGGCACCCACCGCCCCGTCCACCACTCTATGGTCGCAGCTTATCGTAAACGTCATGAATTCAGCTTGTCTGAATCTACAAACGGGAGTTAATTGGGCGTAAATTGACCCTTAAAGACTTACCCTTTCTCTGACTCGTCCGCAATCAAGCGTTTCTGGGTGGTGCCCACCGCCAATATACAGCTTTGTGGGGGGTTTACAATGGCACAGAAATTATCGACACCGAACATGCCTAAGTTTGACACGCTGATGGTACCACCTTGGAATTCCTGAGGCTGGAGTTTGCCCTCGCGGGCCTTGGCCGCCAAACCTTTAACTATTTTACTAATGTCGATGACGCCTTTGGAGTCGGCGCCGAACACAATGGGGGTGAGTAGGCCGCGGTCGGTCGACACGGCCACGCTAACATCCACAGAAGAGTACCTAAAATAACGGGGCTACTTTTACAAAATTGTCTAGTAGGCTATTTGACAGTTATAACTGTCAATGCATTGCCAACTTAATTTTTTTAACATTAAATGTCCGCACTTACTGTCTGATCACGCTGTCCATCCACGCCGAATTCGCCTCGGGCACCTTCTTCGACGCCATCGCCACCGCCTTCACAATAAAATCGTTCACACTCAACTTCACCTTCTCCTTCTCCAGCTTCTTGTTGAAGCGCGCCCTCAACTTGAGTAGTTTGTCCACGTTGCACTCGATCGATAGGTAATAGTGGGGTATTGTCTGCTTGGACTGCAGCAGTCTCTTGGCGATGGTGCCCCTCATTCCGGTCACGGGAATATCGACGTAGGGGGCGCCGCTGGGGACGTTGGCGGGCATGGGCGCTGACGGCGCCTTCGCCGCCGCCGGAGCACCTGGGGGTGGCGCTGCCGCCAACTTATCAAGATCTGCGGACGTTATGGAGCCGTAAAGTCCAGTACCTGTACCCTGGAGGCGTATATTGCGCTGCTCGGCGAGCCGCTTGGCCATGGGACTGGCGTAGACGCGGTCGCTGGGGGCCGACGACGGCGGCGGCACCGTGGGTGGCGCCGGGGCTGGAGGGGGTGTGGGGGCGGCGACGGCGGGCGCGGGGGCCGGTGGCGCGGCCGGCTTGGCGGGCGCCGCGGCGGCGGCGTCGTCCTGTAACGAAACATTGACGTTCTAGTTATCACAATTGCGTAATTAAGAAATTACCTTGAAGTCTTTAAAGGCGGCAACGTCCGCCTGGTTTTCCACAATCACGCAGACTAGTTTCCCGATGGGGACATCCTTGGTGCCCGCCGCCACTAAAATTTTCGCCAGGAAGCCCTCCTCTGGAGTCTCGAAACCCATGGTGGCTTTATCGGTTTCGATTTCCGCCAGCAAGTCCCCCTCGTTCAGTCTGTCGCCCTCCTTTTTCTCCCAGCTGATGATGGTCCCTAGTTCCATCGTCGGGGACAGCGCTGGCAGCAGCACCCTCGTGTGCGCGGGGTAGTCGGTTGCGTAGCGCCGCGCCAAGCTGACGGAAGGGCCCTGCCATTCCAGCGGCCTGTGTTCTCTCAGAAGACTCCTAAAAAAGTGAGGTTATGGTTACGCAAACTCGGTAAAAATAGCCCATTTATGTAAAGGGGGTGAATGGGGCCCTACCTGTGGTGGTTTTTCCTTTTCGTGATAACGACTGACAGGTTTCGGACCAAGTTGGCACGAACGGCCTTCCTCAAGGTGCCTTTGACGAGTTCGCTTCGCACGACGACCGACCGCAACATCTTGGCTTAAAGTAACTTACGAAGTGATAATAGGAAGATTTTTGGTGTTCTCCTGAGAGCAGAGGGCGACTTGCAGCGGCTCGAGTCGTCTAGGTCATTTAAAAGACTTTCACGACAGAAAGCTGTGACTGTGACGTGCAAATCACACGTTTTTGACGGCGCGTCGGCGTCCTAGCGGGGGAGGCGGCGGGGCTTGCAACGGAGAGGTGGAGAGATAACGTGGAGCGCCGAAGGCAGGAAATTGGTCCCGAAGTGCAACAAAAACCGAAAAAAATTGCGCGATTATGCAACCAGTTATATAATCCCGCATGACCACCAACCCCACAAAACCAAACACAAAACACCCTACAATGTTTTGCATTTTTTAACGTTAAAAACGTCACTTCCAGATTAAAATTCATTGAATTAATCTCTGTACCTGGGTTTGCGTGAGTCAAGCAAGTTTTTTTTTATCAAGTCCCGCTGAAAATTAAAAAAATCGTGAATACGCAACCCACAAGACACCCCATCTTCACCTGATTGACAATTGACACATCTGTCAAGTGTCAAAACCTCCCGACGTTTTAGGTTACGTCCACCTACAGCCCCTTTATGGCCGACTGCAAGTCCACCATGCGGGAGCTCGAAGCCACCGCCAAGACCTCCGCCACCACGCACGTGATCAACATGTTCCAGCGGCCCGGCCAGCTCGAGAAAGTGGACCAGTTCAAGCGGCGCCTCACCCGCAAGAAAAACTCGGTGGAGGCCCTCCTCAAGTCCGCCATGCAGCAGCAGCTCGACGGCGTCCGCACCGGGCTCAACCAGCTGCACTGCTGCCTCGAAGACGTGCGCGAGATCGACTCCAGCCTCAAGAAGATGTTCGGCTTGTTCTCGGAGGTGCCCCAGTTGTGCAACCAGTTGAACCAAGTGCGCGACGAGAACATGCGGCACTCGCAGTACGTGACGGCGAGGGAGAACCTGAAGCACATCTTCACGGTGCCGGAGAGCGTGGAGAAGACCAAGCAGTGGATCAACGAAGGCAAGTTGCTGCACACGCATCAGTGTCTACGCGACTTGGAGAACTCGAGGGACGATTTGTTGTACGAGTTGCACAAGCTGCCGAATCAGTCGCCGCACGACAAGAGCATGTTGAAGGCGTATTTCGCCGACGTGGAGACGTTGTCGAATATCTTGGAGAAGCAGTTGAGGTTGATTTTGTCGCGGACGTTGAACACGGTGAGGAAGGAGCCGACGGTGATTGTGACGGCGTTGAGGATCATAGAGCGGGAGGAGAAGACGGATCAGGAGACGGTGAAGCAGGGGAAGCTCACGGGGTTTTTGCCGCCGGGGCGGCCTAAGAAATGGAAAGAAATGGCGTTCGAAGTGTTGGAGAAGTCGGTGGCGACGAGAGTCGAAGGTACGCAAGTTGACGAACGAGAAGATAACAAACACTGGTTGATTCGGTACTTGGAGTTGACGCGGCAACTAATCTTGGAGGATCTCCGAGTGGTGAAGACTTTGTGTGTACCTTGCTTCCCCCCACGTTACAACATCATCGACAAGTACATCCAAATGTACCACAATTCGTTGTCGCGGCACCTACAAGAAGTGATTCAGAACGGGCTCCAAGGTAACGAATACGTGACTGTATTATCATGGGTGAACAAAACCTACCACGGTTTCGAGCTACTAGGACACCCGGATTTATTCGAACACACGAAAAACTTAGGCCCTCTACTCCCACAAGCCGTGATGGAGCACCTAGAAAGCGACTACTTGAAGAACATCGAAGCCAACTACATAGAATGGATGCGGAACACTCTAACCTCTGAAGAACAAGAGTGGAGGTCGGACGTAGAACCCACTTCCGACAACTACTCACGTACCGCCGCCCCCATAATCATCTTTCAAATGATCGACCAAAACCTCCAAGTCTCCAACACCATCAGTACCGAAATGACGTGCAAAGTACTAATCGTGAGCATCGAACAAATCATCAACTATGGAGAGTCGTACGGGAAGGCAGTCTTCGACTTCAAAACCAAGTACTTCGAGGACCGAAAACAAGTCCCTTATTTCACCCAATACATGATCATCATCATCAACAACTGTCTCCAATTGAACGAATTGGGTACTCAACTCGAGAAGCAGTACTGGACTTCATCAAGCCCTCCACTCCTCGGGGAGAACTTCAGCAAACTACGCGCCACTTTCATCCAGTTGAGGAACGACGCAGGCGACTATCTCCTAGAGGAATTGTGCATGGATTTGGATAAACACTTCGACGAGTTGTTCAACACGCGCTGGTTGGGTACCACTCTTCCCGTAGACACGATTTGCGCCACGTTGGACGATTATTTCCTAGACTACAACCGACTAAGCGAACCTAATTACAAATTCATCGTCCATCAAGCTCGTGCTTTAGTTTCCAAACGGTATTTAACCGCTCTGTTATCAAAAAGGGTGTCTTTCAAGACCTACGAAGAGAGTGTCCAAGCGGCTGCAAAAATCGTGAAAGAAGCGAAACAGTTAGGGAAGTTGTTGGACACTTTGTGTAGTTTGGAGGGTGATGATCCCTTCGAAACTGTGATTTTGTTGACGGAAGTGCTCAAGAGCGACGACGATATGTTATCGTTTGAACTGCACCGGATCGTCGAGAAGTATCCCGATATCATGGAGGATCATCTGCTGAGGTTGTTGAGTCTGAGAGGGGACTTGGCGAGGTCGGACATACGTGATAAGGTGGCACACTTGCCCAAAGTCAAGATGACGCACCAAAGCAGCGTTTTCCGGACGCTAGTTTTCCCCAAACTTGTTAACCTTAATGTTTTTAATAATTAAAGAATGTATCGAGATAAATCTTCTTTAGCGATTCCCCTCTTCACACTGTGCGGACATAGCATTAACACACCGAGCGTCTGTTGACACTCCAAAACAACCCTTTATCATGTTTACGCACTCATTCATTAAAATCAATCACAACAACGTATTTTTAAAACTAACAAACAAGATAAGAGAGGGTATCAAAGCGTGGAGTCACCGACTTATATAAGCCACCGTCGCCTTTCAGCTGCACACCACCATGAAAGTTCTGATTCTTCTGGTGTGCCTCGGCACCGCGCTCTCCATCGAACCCGAATACGGCGTAGGTCAACGAAAATTCAAAGTTTGTAAGTATCCACACCCCCTCAAGACCAAAATCTAACACTCATTCAGCCGACAAGCTCTTCCTGGAGCGGCAACGCGACCTTCTGCACCTCTTCCAGTTTATTAATCAACCCGACAACGATGCCGAGCACCTGAAAATCTCCAAGACGTACTCGATCGAGGACAACATTGACGCCTATATTAATTCCACGGCGGTGAAGAAGTTCGTGGGGTTGTACAAACAAGGGTTGCTACCAAGGGGTGAGATCTTCTCGTTATTCTATCAAGCGCACCTGGAGCAGGCTATCACTCTGTTCAAACTGTTCTACTACGCTAGAGACTTCAACACGCTGTATAAAACGGCAATTTGGGCTAGAAACAACGTGAACGAGGGGTTGTTTTTGTATTCGTTTTCGACTGCTTTGGTGCACCGGGATGATACTTTCGGTTTTGTGTTGCCACCAATTTACGAGATTTATCCGTACTATTTTTTCAACGGGGAGGATATAGAGAAGGCGCTGAGGTACAAACAACAGTACAACGGTGGTACTAAGACGTACACGATTTATTCCAACTACTCGGGGTACTACCTCAACTTAAACAAAGAACAGTCGCTGTCGTACTACCTGGAAGATGTTGGTCTTAACGCCTTTTACTACTACTGCAACATTTATTATCCCTTCTGGATGGACGGGGTGGAGTTCAAACTCAAAAACGACCGACGTGGGGAACAGTACTACTATTTGTATCAGCAGCTTCTAGCAAGGTACTACCTCGAACGTTTGTCTAACGACCAAGGGGAGATCGAGTTTTTCAACTACGAAGAACCCTTCAAGTATGGGTACTACTCCTCTTTGCGGTACCCCAACGGGCTGGCTTTTCCAAACAGACCCAACTACGCCAAACTCACCGAAACGTATTACAATTACGGGCAATCTTGGACCTTCAAGAGTCGCTACGGATTCGCCTATACAAAAATCCAGGACATAGAAAAGCGCCTGCGGGACTCCATCGACGCTGGGTACATCTTCAAGGTAAACCCCACCTTGCAACCATTAAACTCCCCTATAACCCAGATTTTTACAGAAAGACGGCAAATACATTGACTTGCTAGCGTCAGACCAGATTGACCTCCTGGGTAACTTGATCGAGTCCAACCCGGACTCCGTCCACCCCAATTTCTACGGACCATGGCAAATCTACGCCCGTCACCTCCTGGGGTACTCATACCAACCTCTAAACAAATACAAAGTGGCGCCATCTGCCCTAGAACACTTCGAAACGGCTCAGCGTGACCCCGCCTTCTACCAACTTTACAAACGCATCGTCCTCCACTTCCAACTCTACAAACTCTATTTACCCCCTTACACCTACAACGAGCTCTACTTCCCTGGTGTGAAGGTCGAAAAAGTCGACTTTGATCGCTTATTAACGTACTTTGATTCGTTCGACTCTGATGTGACTAACGCTGTGTACAACGCTCCAAACGAAACGTGGGGTTCTTTCAAGGTGAAAATCCGGCAACAGCGCCTCAACCACAAGCCTTTCACCTACCGAATTAGCGTGAAGTCGGACAAAAGCGAAGAGGCGATAGTTCGGGTGTACCTGGGCCCCAAATTCGACGAGTACGGACGCGTTATCGAAATCGACCAAAATCGTATGAATTTCATCGAACTGGACGTCTTCAAGTACCAACTCCAAACGGGCGAAAACCGGATTGAAAGAAACTCGAGACAGCTGTATTGGTTCGTACCGGATCGTACCACTTCTAGGGACTTGTATCAAAAGGTAGTCGACGCGATTGGCAACACTGAGCAATTCCAGTTGGACTCGAGTGAGGCGTTTTATGGCTTCCCGAACCGACTTTTGTTACCCAAGGGTAAGCGCGAAGGACAAGTCTTCCAGGTTTACGTCATCGTGAACAAGTACCAAGCACCGGGACGTGCCGAGGTGCAACAGAACTATTATTTCCATAGGGTTGGTACGGGAATGAACTACATCGACAACTACGCCTTCGGGTTCCCGTTCGACCGCGCTATTGTCAGTTCGGAGTTCAAAGTACCCAACTCCCGTTTCCAGGAAGTCGTGGTTTATCACAAGAATGTAGACGAATTGAACTCGTCGCAAGCCCAAAACGAACCATAATCTAGGGATTTTCGTTTGGTTATACTATATTGTACGATTGGTTCCCCTGTATCAATATATTTATAAAGCATGAATATCACTGTTTGTGTACAAAAATATCATAAGTAACGCACCCCCAATTAATTTTCTTGAATGACCGCATCCCCTATTAGAAGTTTCTGGATATCGTTAACCCCTGCGTAAATTTCGGTGATCCTGGCGTCCCGATAGTGTCTCTCTGCTGGCATATCGCTCACATACCCCATCCCCCCTAAAATCTGGATGGCCCCATGTGTGATAAAAGTCGCCGCCTCGCTCGCCGCCAACTTCGCCATCGACGACTCCTTGGTGGACTTGGCGGGTCTGTCACACAACGCCGCCGCTCGCCACACTAGTAACCGCGCCGCTTCCAACCTCACCGCCATGTCTGCCAACCGTAACTAAAATCACCAACTGATTCAACCCTAACCTAAAATCTTACTTTGACCGCTTGGTAACTACTAATGGGTTGTCCGAATGTCTTCCTGTGTTTCGAAAACGCCACTGCGAGCTCCAAGGCGGCTTGCGCGATCCCCAAAGCCTGCGCCCCTATCCCCACCCTCGCGTAGTCCAACTGGGTCATCGCCAAAACGAACCCCCCACCGACTTCCCCTAAAACAAAAGTCACTAAACCAGTAAACACTGAAGACCCCTATTACCCAAAACGTTATCCTTGGGGACTTCCACTTCGTCCAGAATCAAGTTACAAGTGGGGGACGCCCTAATTCCTAGTTTCTCGTCTTTTTTACCTAACGTAACCCCGTTTGACGAGAGTGGTAATAAGAATGCCGTTATTCCTTTGTGTTTGAGGGTTTTGTCGACGGTGGCGAAAACCACGGCCGCTTTACCTACAGGGGCGTTGGTCACCCATGATTTGGTACCATTGAGGACGTAGCAGTCGCCGCAGAGCGTCGCTGTGGTGGACACGGCACTGACGTCACTACCGGCCTCTACGACTCAGATTCAAGCTAGTGTGGGTAAGCGGCATACGTACCTGGCTCGCTTAAAGCGAAGCAACCCAAGTCGCCACCCGTAAACCGTCCGAGAAACTCCTCCTTTTGCTCCTGCGTCCCGACTCGATTGACTAAGCCGTTGTATAGAGCGTTGTGGATGGAGACGATGGAGCCCGTGCCTCCGCAACCACGCGCGATTTCCTCCACGGCCACCGCCACGGCGAGAGTGTCATGGCCGCAGCCGCCATATTGCTCCGACACGTTGATCTTCAGCAGACCCAAGTCGCCGATTTTTTCGATCTAGGGGGTTGGTACAAGTGTAACAATATAGTAGTTATTAGCTAGTTATACTTGTTGGGCTGGGAATTTGTGCTCTTTGTCTAGCTGCGCGGCGATTGGTTTCAGCTCGGCTTCAGCAAAGTCGCGACAGGTTTTTTGTAGTAGGCGGTGCTCCGGGGAGAGAGTGTGGAGGCTGAAGCTGCGCTTGTTTGGAACCTCTGTGAATGTTTTAGGGTCACTGACTGTCTTAACCTCTGCATTGTAACTAACTTACCATTGAGGATGACTTTCAGAATTTTTTTCATGGACATGGTTCTTTATGTCGCACGCGTGGTCTACAAGTGGCCTTGAGTATCTCCTGATTATCATTACTGTAATAATGGAAAAATTAAACACGCATTATCAAATGGGCACTTCACATTTTTTGTTCAAGTTGATAAGTCATGATAATGAGTTTCAAGGTTGTGGACGAGGATTTAAATATGATTAACGATGGAAGGGGCTGGGTCACGTGACATTAAAGTCTATTTAATTTAAGTAACTTTATTTATAAATTTATACAAACAAAAGTACAATCAGTCAAACAACCTAAGAAACGTTAAATTCTATCGTAGGTTTCGGGGGTCGTGATTGCGGTTGGGCTGCAACCACTGAAGAGGAAAATAATGCCATCCTAGAAAAAAAAATTAAAATTAGGGTGACAATGAGTTAACAAACGTACTTTCATCAGTCCTGGCAAACTCCTCCAGAAGTCAATATTGGGGATCATTTCCAGCCCCCTCGCTCCCCGTATAAAGTACAATATTAGGCAACCTCCGACAAGATAAACTACCACAGAAATAAAAAATATCAGCAGGAACACTGACCCCGTGCTCATGCCTGGATGGTGCGTAATCACGCACGCATATCGCGACGTAAACGTCAACGTAGGCTACAACAAAATCAAAATTTTCCGGAACCAAACCAACCCCATACTCACATCAGTCCCCTCTGCATTAATCAGTTTAATGAACGACTTGTCGTACGCGGAACACAGCAACTCGATCCTCGCGATGACCCTGCAACCAACCATTAACCCTCGTTTCACCCCCAAAACCACTTACTTCTCGCCGCTCTTGTACACGATCTGGTGCGAGCTTTTCTGCCCCTCGACCGCCGTGAACTTAATCTGTGCACTCTTCCCCACCTGCACCCCATTGAACGCCGTCGTGTTGTAAAACGTTCCATTCGTATAATTGAAAGTCACGTACGTGGTGTTGACTATCATCAGCTACAACAAAGCGTGAGTTGGAGTCGAACCAGAGCTGGGACTCACCGATCCCGAGAACACCGGATTCGTGCTGTTCACGTGCAACTTGCGCGCCGTGGCGTTGAAAGTCCCATCTTTGCAACCCCGGAAATAGACGCTGTTGCCGGCGCCGTCGAAGTCTTCGAGGAATTCGTCGTCTTTGAGCTGTTGCGCCACTTGCGTCAAGTCGATTTTGTTGTATTCGTCGATGTCGCAGACGCACGGATTTTCGCTCAAACATGCACCAACGTCCGTACACTTTACCGCTGATAACAAAACCGCGATTATTAGGAAATTCGGAAATTTAGCCATGACTCATATTTGCAGTGAAAATAAATAAAGTTGGAGGTTAGGGCAATGACAGATGCGCAACAAGTTGACAAGTGACAACTGGCAGAGGGCGCTGCACCGCCAGCGAAAATACGCGAAAACTCGGAAAAACGCAATTTTCCCCACTAGATTATCGTAAAAGGCACGAGCTGCTCGTCTTGTTATGAAATTACACCATAATTACACTAATTACAGCTTCGGAAATAAAAAATGAGCGAAAAAGAGTGTCAGAGGGCGCCACCGTCGCCGTCAAATGTCACTTTCAGTCAAACTTTTCCAGACAATTTCCATCAAAGTGGTTGTATTGAACACACAAAAACGCAAAAACCGGCACCCAAATGGCTACCAAGTACCCAATTCATCGATTTTGTGCCTTTACCCCAAATTCTAACTATCGGTTTTTAGGTTATGTCACTCCCCATCCACATTTGGGATAACAAACACCAGATTTAGATCTTCGCGCGTAATTCCCCTACTTACCCCACTCGTGCGAGGTCATTGAGATAACCCACAGATAACACAACAAACTCAAAATGACGTCCCAATCTATCGTAGTTGTGGGGTCTTGCATGATTGATTTCGTCAGGTAAACCCCATTTCGCGCCCCCACAAACTACAAATTGTGTTCTTAGTTATGCGCCACGTCTCCCTCAAAAGGGTGAAACTATTCACGGCACTCAGTTCGTTACGAACTTTGGAGGAAAAGGGGCCAATCAGTGCGTCGCTGCTGCCAAACTAGGGGGCCAAACGACTCTAGTGGCTCGAGTACTACCCCCCCTTTGTCACTACTTTTCTAAAACGGGTATTCCAGGTCGGCGAGGACTTATGGGGCGACAAATACATCGCCAACTTAAAAGAACAAAAAGTTGAAACTAAATATGTCCAAAAGACGCCGAATTTTTCAAGCGGGATTGCGCAAATCACGGTGGCTGAAACCGGCGACAACCAAATCGTGATAGTGGCGGGGGCCAACACTCAACTGAGCCCCCTAGACGTGGAAAAAGCGAAAAGTGAGATAAGTGCGGCTGCCGTACTAGTTTTACAACTAGAAACCTCAGTGGAAGTCGCGGTTAGGGCTCTGGAGTTGTGTGAAGGGGTAAGCGGGACGTGGTTACAGAGTGACATTGAAGGGGTGTTTTAGGTGTCGGTTTTAAATGGAGCGCCAGGGCTCAGTGACTACGACGCACGGATTTTAACACTACCGACGATTTTTTGTGTAAACGAAACTGAAGCTGAGCTGTTCACAGGACTACCAGTGACAACAAAAAAGTATTCGTTGTTTTGTTTTTTAATCATGGTTTTGAGTTTCACTTTGTAGGGAGGCCGAAACAGCTGCCAGGTTTTTACTTTCCAAGGGGTGTAAAAGCGTCGTGTTGACTCTGGGGGCGCAAGGGACCCTCTACGTGGATAAAACTGAGTGTTTGTACCTTAGTTGTCCCAGTGTCCGGTGCGTGGATTCCACAGGAGCTGGGGATGCATTTATTGGGGCTTTTGCGTTTTTGTTGGCCACTAAGCCCGACCTTCCGATGGCAAAGGTGCTCGAGAGTGCGTGTATTATAGCCTCTGATAGCGTGACGAGGTCGGGGACCCAAATTAGTTTCCCTGGAAAGGAAATCCTGGATAAATGTCCTCTGTAAAGTTAGCGCTTTGTACTTAGGTGACGTGTGAGTTGCCATTGTGGTTATGTTTAAATAAAAGCGGGGGTTGGTTTAATTTAATTTTATACCTTGTGGTGGTTTCACCTTCGGGGGATTGTTATGTTTTGGAATCTTGTAAACGTAACGAACATAACCTCAAACCTTACGTCAATCGGGTTGAAGTCGGTAAGTTAGGAATCTATATCGTGAAAACCGAAAACGGTTGGTACCTCGATTTGACATAAGTAATGTCAAAGTGACAAGTTTATTTTGGATTTTTAATTTTGTTGATAGAATTAGACGTAATAATTTGAATAAAATGCCGTCTTTGCCGCCTATAAGAAACTTTAACTTGAAGGTGCGTGCTTCGCAAGTGTCAGCCCCATTTAATAAATTTTTTAGGTTTTGTTTTTAGCGCATTTTGTTTTCATCGCCCTCAGTTCGATGGGGTATTGGAGCTCCTCGGCTTTTCTGTTTTACAATTTCTTTCTCATACTGTTCCTCGTTTGGAGTATATATCAGCCAGACAGCGAGGAACCGATGCAAATGGTGAAAGCGCAACTTGATTGTTTAGTTTTTATAAAATCGTTTGCAGGCAATCGTAGTTAATGGGGTTTCCATATTCCTAGACATTTTGTTGTTGGTTATGAGTTATCCGAGTGGTGCGGCAGCCGCACGAGAGAAATTTTCTGCAGCCATGTGTATCTTACACTTAATAATTCGGCCTTTTAGTACTATTGTTTTAATTAAGAATTTAGAGGAGAGGTCTGGCTCGGAAGGTGCGGATTGAAGCGATTTTTTTTTATTTTTACTAATGCGAGTGTTAATAGGGGCGCTGTCGGGGTTGTTCGGGGGCAACCAGCAGCAGTCTAGTTACGAAGACATCGATAGGACCGTGCCGCGGTCGTCGTCGCAAGGGGGCTCGTACGATTTCTCCGGCGCCCAACAAATCTAGTAACCAAAAGTACGAATATTTTATAGGCTCACTTCACTAATATATTTTATAATACAGTATAAGCCATTATTTGTATGTATAAATGTAATTACTCATACGTTATTTTTGTTTGTTGTTCAATAATAATATTGATTTCTTAATACGATTCGTAATTTATAAAGTCCATTTCCGCTAGGTCGCGCTGTGTCGTCACTTGTCGTCGATAACCTAGAAATCTGCAGTGTTTGTATTCTCAGCTGGTCAATGTTATTCAGTGTTATCAGCTGCTATTAATGTTGTGATTAGGCCAATTAAAAGTAGTCCAATATTGTCCCCGCAGCCGTCGAAGTCCCCCCAAAAATGAAAAGCCCCCCGTCTCTTTACGACATCTGCGTCAAACTAGCTGTCAAAGATTGTGTTACAGTGTGTAAATTTTGCAAAAAAGAGTTCAGATCCCTTCCAGACAATGTCCTCTTCGATTTTTATTACACAGTAAGTGCGTCTTTATTTAAACTTAGCCTAATCAGATCGTTGTAGATGTTCCTCGAGAAACGGTCGTGCCTTCTCGCTGTGGAATTCAGCGAACTGGAAGTTTTCATTCGAATGCTGACGATAAAACACAAGCGCGTGAAGCTACTAAAGAGTTTTCAAGGCTTGATCAACCACGGCTCGAACGTCCCCGACGAGCTCATCCAGGACTTTTCCAAATACGTACACAAAGACCCGGAAAAGGCCGTCAGCGTGGGGATTCAAGTGGGCAGTTTTTTCAACGAAGGGGGCTGGTACGACTACAGTATCAAGATCCTGACAATAACCGAGGAGCTGTGCAGGAAGCAGGCGCAGACGGCGGAGGTTTTGCGGAAGTGCCTGCAGTGCTACCACAGGTACGACTAAACCCGACCACGACCAAAATAACGTGACGATTTTAGACGGATTTACGCAGAAACGATCTACTGCGAGTTCAAATCGGCCGAAAATACCTTCACTTCCGCTTTGCAAGTCATCGAAAAGCTGGAGGAAATGAACGCGGTGCCTAATTTGGCCGGATTGTATGCTAATTTTTCTACTCTCTACTTCCACCGGAGCGAATATGACGAATCATTTGCGTGGTCTAAAAAAGCGCTGATGTTACTCAACGATAAACTTCCACCTAGGTAAGGGGGGACCGAGAGAGACACGGATTACAGGTGGTGGTTCCAGGATTATAATAGAAGTCTTGAGACAGGCCTCCAGGGCTTGCGTCGTCAAGCGTCGTTTCAACCAAGCAGGCCTTCTCATCCGTCAAGCGGTTAACCTAGCGTCTGAGATCTACGAAATCGACGGTCACCCACATTTCTCAGACACTTTACTCGATTACGGGTTCTACTTACTCAATTTTGACTCGATTCAGGAGAGCGTCAAGGTCTACGAGAGGTCGCTACAGATTCGAATGGACGTCTTCGAAAAAAATAATATCCACCTGGCGTTGGCACACGAGGACATGGCGTACGCGCTCTACGTCAACGAGTACAGCTCGGGGAGGTTCTACGCCGCGAGGTAAGCCCCCAAAAACTAAAATTAATGAAAGAAATTTGAAAGTTCAAAATCTGTCAAACGCAGTGTTGCCAATCGCGTCGTACTAAGCAACTAGATCTGGTGACTTTTGTTGGGATTTAGTGTTATGAATAATGACAGTAATTCCAGTGGCGTATCCCTGCGGGGGCACCGATTTTGTTTTAGGGAAAACGCGGACCGCTCGATTCGTCTCATGGAGCGCATTTTGCCCAGCAACCACCTAATGTTGGCGTCCGCGAAGCGCGTGAAGGCGCTCATCCTCGAGGAAATCGCGTTGGACATGCGCGAGGGTAACAACTCCCATCTACAAGAAAAATTCCTAATAGAGGCTGAAGAACTGCACCAGACTGCGTTAACTCTGTCTCGCAAAGCCTTCGGGGAGAAGAACGTGCAAACGGCTAAGCACTACGGGAATCTGGGGCGGCTGTACCAAAGTATGCGTCAGTTCGAGCAGGCCGAAGCGATGCACTTGAAAGCCATAGCCATCAAGGAGGAGTTGCTGGGGAGCGCCGACTACGAAGTGGGGTTAAGTATCGGGCATCTGGCGTCCCTTTACAACTACCACATGAAGCGGCACCATGACGCCGAGAAACTCTACATGCGTTCGATGGAGATCAACATGAACTTGTTCGGGGAGACGTACTCGGGCTTCGAGTACGACTACCGGGGGCTGATCAACGTGTACTCGAAGCTGTGCGATCAGTCGAACGTGATTTTGTACACTCTGAAAATGCGCGATTGGAATATTCTGAGGGCGCAGTCCAAGCCGCCGGTGCACGTCGAGGAGATCTTGCCGCTCAGAGAGATCATCGATAAGTTCTTGGGCATGTGCTGAAGTCTAGTCACCGAAATATCAAACGATGCTGCCAATCTTGTTTGTCCCAAATTTTTATTATTGTTTTTTTTTGGTTGAAAATTTTCAACTTTCGCGTCTTTAGAAAAATCTGTGATATTGCTTGGACATTCCTGACGTGAATCTCAATGTGCAAATGTTTTAGGTGCTTTTAATTTCCAGTATTACGAATCCAGTGCTTTTGTGGGACAAGTCACTTGCAATTTTAATACTGTAGAGCGGGAGGCACAACGTCAAAATCACGGACTGGATTGGTCACTGAGCGGCGCAGCCTCCTCGAACGTAGCGTTTTATTATGTAACTTAGATTTACTCATCAAACAAATCTCATATTAATCATGCAGTTATTTTTTGTTGAATAGATTGTGATTGATATTTTTACGATAAGCATAGTTACTTTTTTGTTACGCAATTATACCGCATTTATCTTAAAGGTTGCTTTATTGTCGCCATCTAGTGGCGAAAACTCCCACCTGTCATTTTGTTTGTGCGCGGTTTTGTGATTTTACGACAAAACACTCAGTTAAGTCATTGTTTAAGTATATTATAGTTGGACAACCTATACGGACAATCACTTTCCCATGTAGAAAAGAATGAATATATATTTTACATCTCACTCGCTTCACTATGAAGTGGCGGTACCTTACGAAAGGGGGTAAAAATAGTCCGTAAGCACGTGATGTCGATAAGGTAGTAAACGGACGTATTAATCACTACGTTGTACGGGGAGCAGTCACAAAATAAGCAAACGTACGTGTTGAAGACTTTACATATATGTAATATATGTATATGTAGTGCATACCTGTTTCAAGGTTAAGGTAACAAAAATTTAATATTATCGCGGTATACCTATTATCCATGAACTGCATGGCTAACAAATATGCGTCCCTTCGTCCACTTTAAAGGTACGAAATTAAACGACCACTACTTTAATTAATAAGTAACAAGTCATCTAAATTGCCTCCAGAATAACTATGAGTTATCATCAAACTATGAACACCAAATTAATTCAATATGAACATCTTCTTACGTATTTTTTTTTATTAAGAGTAGTCAAATCATTAAATACATATTATCTTTGAAACTAAAATGCATTTTATCCTAAGATTGTATCACAAAATATTCATCACCATTTAAATATATACGATTTAGACATCAAGAAATAAATTTAAAATTGCAAAAATTATATCTAGCAGACTTAAAACAGCCTTAAATGTGTCTTGTATGTACGTGCTTATCAGTATGTAGGCATTTTAACGCACAGCAATAATCGTTCTTTATGAGTAATGACTGATGACAACTGTGACGCAGTAAATCCTCGAAATCGAAAATTTAAAACACTAAAAAATTCAAATATGGAAAAATTGTAAAATCGAGAAATTGAAAAATTGAAATATAGAAGAACTGAAAACTCAAAAAATCGAAAAAAATTAATAATTTAAAAATTGAAAAGTTAAAATTGAGAAATCGAAAAACTGAAAAATCACAAAATTGAACGAAATATCAAAAAATCAGGAAATTAACAAATTGAGAAACAGAAAAGTCAAATAAGCAGAGTCTAAAAATCGCAAACTTAAAAAATCGAAAAAGTGAAAAACAAAAACCTAAATAATAGAAAAATTGAAGAACTGAAAAATCAACGAATCGAGAAGTCGAATTGGACAATTGAAAAATCGGATAAACCAAAAATCGAAACATCGAAAAATCGAGAAACCGAAAAGCAAAAAATCGAAAAACCAACAAATCGAAAAATCGAAACATTGTAAAATTCAAAAATTGAGACATCGAGAAATCGAAAAATCAAAAGACAAAAAAATCGAGGAGTCGAAAAATCAAAAAATTGAGAAACCGAAATAGGCCAAAATCGAAAAATCGAAAACTTAAATATGGAAAAATTGATAAAGCGAGAGATTGAATAATCAAAACATCGAAACATCCGAATCTCAATAAATTGAGATCTCAAAAAATTTAAAAATTCGGAAATTTAAAAAATTAAAATATAGAACTGGAAACTCGAGAAACCGAAAAATCTAGAAATTTAAAAATTAAAATATGGAAAAGTTGAAAAATTGAGAAATTGAAATAAAAAACAAAAAACCGAAAATCCAAAAATAAAAAATAGAAAAATCTTGAAATCGAAAAATGAAAGAATCGAAGAATTGAAAAATATCAAAACTGAAAGAAATATCCAAAAATTGAGAAATCGACAAACCAATAAAGCGAAGTCGAAAAATCGAAGAATTGAAGAACTGAAAAATCGAAATTTTGAGAAGTGGGAAAATCAAAAATAGATTAATTGAGAAATCAGAAAACTGAAAATTTAACGCAAAAATTTGAAAAATTCAAAAATTTAAATACTGAAGAACTGAAAAGTCAAAAAATCGAGAAATCGAAAAAACTAAAATTTAAAACAATGAATAATTAAAATATCGCAAAATTGAAGAATCGAGAGATCCAATTCAATTTGAAAAATTGAAAAATCGGGGCATTGAAAAATTGGAAAATCCAGAAATTGAAAAGCTCAAAAGAAAAAAATCGAAAAACCGAGAAATCCAAAAATCGAAACATCGAAAAATTCAAAAACTGAGATTTCGAGAAATCGAAAAATCGGAGGATCGAGAATTGAGGAGTCGGAAGCCGAAAAGGAAAGTTAAAAATTGAAAAACTGAGAAATTGAACAATCAAAACAACGAAACATCTGAATTCGATAAATTGAGAAATTAAAAAATTGAATAATCGAAAAATTTTAAAAAAGTCAAACTGGAAAATCAAAAATTAAAATTCAAAAAATCGAAAAATGAAAAATTGAAATATAGAAGAACTGAAAACTCGAGATATCGAAAAACCTAGAATTTTAAAAAATGAAATATTAAAACATCGAAAAGTTTAAAAATTGAGAAATCGAAGCATTAAACAGTCCCAGAATTGAAAAATCTAAAGTTTACAATAAATTGAAAATCCAAAAAGGAAAAAAGCGAGAAATCAAAAAAAATCCATCAATTCAAAAATCGAAAAATCGAAAAATTGAAATATTGAAAAATCTCATAACTGAAAGAAATATTCAAAAAATTGAGAAATTAAAAAATTGGAAAATTGAGAAATCGAAAAGCTAAAAAAGCAAAATTGAGAAATCGTAATCTTAAAAAATCGAAAAATTGAGGAATTGAAGATGTGAAAAATCGAAACTTTAGGAAATCCAGAAATGGACAAATAAAAAAAATACTTTAGAAGTCGGCAAACTGAAAATTTAGAAACGTGAAAATTTGAAAAATTGAAAAATCGAAATATTTAAAAACCGTAAAATTGAAGAGGACAAAAATTGAGAAATCGTATCATTGAAACATCGTAAGATTGAGAAATCGAAAAATAAAAAAATCGAGAAATAGAAAATTTAAGGAATGGAGGAATCGGAAAAGCCCAAAATTGAAATATTGAAAAATTGAGACATTTAAAGTCGAAAAATCGAGAAATCGACAAGCCGAAAAATCCCAATAGCGTATTTAGGTATAAATCACAAGATCAGGACTATTCTACTTTTTAAAATTTAAATACATAACATTATAAATTGGAAAATGTTGATTTTTTTTTCCAAAAATCTTGACGTCTAAGGTGAAAACTCGACACGGATGCATAAACCGTAAACGGGGCCAAACTACAATTTTACTATTGTAAAATTTGGAGATTGCGTCATTTCATTGTTCGTGACAAATTTTGGTGAGTGTTTTACCATTTGATAATACAATTTGAAATGTAAATTTTGTCATTCGGGAACATTATGTATTAAATCGTTAAGTTGTTCAAGAACTTTGTTCACTTATTCGTTGTAAAGTCCAATGGTCGAAATGGGTTAGTTCCTCGTAGTGGATGTGTATCACATCAATTCTAACGAATATCGGTTTATAGATAAATCGCTTAAAGCCGATATTGGCCTGAGTGTGCTTTGGTCTGTAGATCAAACAAGTTCTCAGGCGACGAAAAATTGCATGTGGAGGGAGACTTCGGATTACAAATCGTGCCAAGAAAGACATATTTGGGAGAGATGGATTTTCAGGTGCTTGACTAGCGGTAATTTTAAATTGTTTGCTGTCGTTCGCGAAGTGAAGAACACAATTTCATTAAAATGATAATTATAAAATTATCATAATCACTATTGGTGTTAATTAACACAAAATGGCGCGCAAGTTATCAGTTGATTTCGTTAATAAATTCATAGAAACCTATATGGGCTTTTTTCATGCCTTAGAAAATTAAAAAGTAAAAAATACAATAACAAAAATTTTAAAATGCGGTTTACGAAAAATTAGTTGACCTGTGCAAAGAAGAAAATTTTGGAAACGCTGACAAATATGACATCTTAAAAAAAATAACACTTGAAGAAGTGCTTTCGGGGTAATATTTTTGATGCTCGCGTGAACAAAATACTCTATGTCACTGTGCAGATCTAGCCGAAAATCTGAAAACCAAATCGCTGTGTGTAGGGCCAGCATAACGGAAGTAATAAATCATCCCATCGGTTGAAGAACGTTGGGTCGGTGCACTCATGTCGATGTTATATCCCGAGAGGGGCCCAACACACCCAATAAAATCGAACAGACAAAATAAAGCTTCAAACATGATTATATTTTTACTAAAATTCTGAAGTTTATAAACTGCACATTTTATTTATTTATTTATTTATTTTATCTTGTTTTCGAACTATAATAAACATTTCAAACAATGTCTGTAACTTATTTTAATATAAATTATATTCATGTGGTTAACAAAATCAGATGTAATATTAGTGTGATTTTGACCTTATTCTAGGTTTTATTACAGCAGAACGGCGTATCCTTTTTAAATTTTAGAAGTTACGGAAACTAGTTCAAGAAACAATGAGTTATCTCGTATTTTTGTCCGATAACAGAAATTGTTTTTCATAGAAACAAACAGTCTTCAAAGCAGCCTTTAACAACTCGATATTACAAACATGCCTCTTAAGTTCTTAATGCGTTTTTTTCTCTCTTGAAATTATTTGTAATGTTAACGCCGAAAGTTTATGTCATTCTGTTATTTACTTTGAACATATATTTTCATTTTGTGTTAATATTTTTGTAAAACCACGAATCTACATTTTACTTAAAATCTTGTTTTACTTTAATCTTGTAAAACTAAACAATTATACCAGTTTAAAAACCCTTGGAAAGTTTCTGTCAGTCTTCAGATATAGTCAAATAAAAATAGGAGTCAAATGCATTTAAATTCAATTCTTTCGTATCACGTTACAACGCGTTGCTTCATATTTTTTATGTCAAGCATATTTTCACATTTTGTACGTATATGTTTATACACATTACTGTTTACGGAACAATGTTAATTATGGATTTATGGATAATTCCTCGTATAAGAGCAGAGTGAAGGGTGTTTGTCTTTGCTAATGTTTGATGGCGCCATCTGATTTAGAGTAAAATAAACCTAATACGTTGGCTCACTGTAGTGAAAATGCGCGTTGACGAAAAATTTGTCCCACGTCCCTTAGATTCCTTGTCCTAAAGCTCACTATTTAGGCGAAGTAAAATTTGTATTAGGTTGTCCAACTATAATATACTTAAACCGACTTAAACAATGGTTATGTGTTGCTTTTTCGAACTCGTGGGAATTCGAGGCAGCGAGAACTGTCAAACTGACAAGTGACATTTATCGGCTGTGGCGACCCGAACACAACCTAAAGTCGTAAATTTAACATGAACAGTTTGGCTCGGAGTCTGCAGCCGAAGCGTAAGTGCCCCCTCGACCAAAATTCCGCCTAACCTCATTTTGTATAGGTTAACAATGGATCGAATTCCGGGTCAAACAGGTTATCTTCTCCTGAACGAAGAAGGGGCTGTTTTGGCCTCGTCCGGCGACCTGGAGAATGACGAAAAAGCGGCTGTTATTATAATGGGTTTAATAAACCTAACGTCGTACGTAGACAAGGCTGCATTCCCCGACGAAAGTTTCAAGAAACTCTCGATCACCTACGACAAACACTGCTACGTCATCTGCTTGTCTAACCGCAAAGTGCACGTGGTGAAGAAGACCCTCACTAGCGACAATCCCGTCGTAGCGTAAACGTCAACATGGATATTATTTTATACTGTACGAAAATGAAGTACATGCAGATCGTTATTCTCGTGGGGGCGATCGGTTTCTCACTCTATCATTTGTATATTTTGTTAAATACTTTGAATAAATAAATGTGTCGATGTCTCGTTGGGTTTCTTTTGCAAAGTTTATTTTTAGGTGCGTTTACGCGCAACTTAATACATACATCCATTAAAAAATATGTCAACTCTTAACCTAACTTAACTAAATCTACCATCGGTTATTATAATTATTTCTGTTATTTCCATACTGATTGTTCGGGGGGAAGCCCGGTTGGTTCACCCTCCTCTGCTCCCCCCCTGGGTTGCCCTGTCCGTAGATGGCGTAGTTCGGGTACGTCACTTTCGCCTTATCGAGAGGGTACGTCACGTTCGGCCTGTTCTGATACGGATTCTGCGGGTAATTGACTCCGTAGGGCGCGCTCGGCCTCGGTTGGTACCCCTGTTGCTGCTGCTGTCCTTGAAACTGCCTCTGCTCCTGCGGGAACCCCCCGAAATTCCCCCCACTCGTGCTCGTCGCCGGAATCCCCGCTTTACTGTTCGTCAAACTCTGAACGCTCCCCACGATGTTGGCAAGACTGGCCATGTTCACCGGAATGCTGTTCAGCGTCTTGGCGAAGTCCGCCGAACTCACCGACAACCCCAAAAGATTCCCCTGCGCCGCCTCCGTCTTATTAATATTACTCATAATATTCGATATGATCGCTTTCGTGTCGTCCAAATTCAGCTCCTCTTTCTTCGCCTCGAACTTCATGCTCTCCTCCACGATCTCGCGCTCCTTCTCCAGCTCCTTCTGCTTCACGTTCTTCGACGCCGCCTTCGCCACGTCCTCGAAAGTGTAGTCGTCCTCGTCGGAGTCGAGCGGCAGCTTCGGCTGGTGCTCGTCTTTCTTCGGCGACATTTCGCCGAACTTCCGGGGGGCGGTTTCTTCGACGCTCGGATTCACGCTACCCATGCGGTTCGAAAACGGACTTTCTCTGCCGGTTTTCTTCTCTTCTTGCTTCTCGGGTTTCTGGTTGCCGCCGAGATTGACGAATTTGCGCAGTCGTTCGACCCGGTCGGGCTCCCGAGCTTCCAGTTTCTTCAGGTAGTTGATGAGACCGTGCTGCTCTTCGGTGGAAAGGTCTTTGAAGTTCTGGAGGAGGGTTTGCAAGTCGGAGTCGGACAAGCCCTCCATGTCTTTGTTGGGGGTGGTCTTCTCGGGGGTTTTCATCACTTCGGGTTCGGGGGCTGCCACTTGTTGGATCTGTTAACGAAAAACTTCATTACTAAGTTTCGTGGTTTTTGAATGTAATGTTCTGGTTTGCTTGAGGGATCCAACTTAGGACCGTTACTTTTTGTGATATTCATTAACGACATTGGGGACAATACCTCTCAGAATAAAACTGAAAAAAAAAAGTTATTTCGACGGAACTTCCCTCAATTTCTTCAAGTTTTCATTTTTTTGTTTCTTCAGTTTTCCGATTTGAGCGTGTCTCGAGTTTCAAAGTTAAATTGAAAATTATACTTTTTTTTACTTCCCGAGCGTAAGCAAAGGAAGTATTGTAATCGAGTCCGTCGGCCGACTCTTTACTTTTACGTTTTCTCGATCTTTCATGACCCCTAGAAGACGAAGAAATAGGTCTCCCATTTCCGTCTGTCTGTCCGTTTGTCCGTCTATCCGTCTGTCTGCCGTCCCGGATTTTTATTAGACAGATAATCTCCGAAAGTACTCGACCAATTGTTGTGAAATTTTGTACTTATATTAGGAATATCATGTAGATGGTAAAACGCTAACCAAAATTTGTCTAATCATCCCCACCACTAATGCGATGACGTCACTTCAAAATTCTACATAGTAAATGGGTTTTAAATTGTATAAAATAATATAGTCCTAAACATGTAGTTTACGACTCCGAATTGGGTTTTAACCCGAAACGTCCAGATTTTTGGAAAAAAAATCAAAATTATAAAACAACATTTTGCAATTTAATTTTGAATCTGCTAACCCGAATGTTTTGAAATGTTGCAGATGTTTTAAGGCTCTAAAGGGCATCATAAATCTTTAGTCAAAATATATTTGGTTATCCCCTCCAAAAACTTGATGACGTCAGCTCAAAAGTTTGCCGAATAAATCCTATCTAAAATGTACAAAATATGATGCGTCTGTACTTGTCACTCCATTCATATTTTTTGGATTTGCATATACAGGGTGACTCAAAAAAATTAATAAATGCGCAAAATTTATTTTACTGATTTACTCAGGAACTACAAAACCGAATGCTTTGAAATCTTGGAGATATTTTAAAGTTGTCATTAGCATGGTAAATGTTTTATCAAAATTTATTTGCTCATCCCCCCTAAAAAAAATGATGACGTCACGCTAAAATTTGGTGAATAAATCCTATCTAAAATGTGAAAAATATGATGAGTCTGTACTTGTGATTTATCATTCCAATCATATTTTTTCGATTTGCATATATAGGGTGACTGAAAAAAATTAATGAATGCGTCAATTGATTTTATTGATTTAATCAGGAATTACAGAACCGAATGCTTTGAAATCTTGGAGATGTTTTAAAGTTATCATAAGCATGGTAATTTTTTTATCAAAATGTATTTGCTCTTCCCCCCTAAAAAATTGATGACGTCACTCCAAAATTTTGCTGAATAAATCCTATCTAAAATGCAAAAAATATGATGAGTTTGTACTTGTGATTTATCATTCCATTCATATTTTTTAGATTTTCTTAAGAGGTGGCTCAAAAAAATTAATGAAGTCAATTTATTTTATTGGTTAAATTAAAGGCAAAACTTATTATTAGTATTACATTGGACCAACCCAATTTGGTAGACACAAAATTTTTTAAAGTAAAAACTCGATTGAAACATAAGGGTAACACGCTTATTTACATCTACTTTAACATTACAGACGTGCATTATATTTTGTCTTTGTTTTTTTTCTTAATATACATAGCCATCTTTGCACAACAAGAAACTTAAAACATGGTTAAAATGGTACATTTTTGCAAAGAAATATGGATATTTTCCTATACAAATTTCCATTTTAAACATGTTTTAAGTTTCATGTTGTGAAAAGAAGTCTACACAAGTTAAAACAAAAAGACAAAATATAAGCCCGCCCACCCGCCCTGTCTCAATTGTAATGATCTTTTTTATTCGCCGTTAAGCAAGGGGGCGGAGCTTAACTGCAAAATACTTATTTCTTTGAAAGAAATTAACAACATGTTTTTGAGTATCGTGTTGTTCATAAAATATCATGTACATTAAGATAAAGCGGCAAAATATAAACCCCGCCCACCCACCCCGTCTCAATTGTGATGATTTTTTTTATTCTTAGAAACCTAAAACACTTTTAAAATGGTAAATTTTTATAGGGAAATATCAATCTTGCAATTAGGCTCCGCCCCTCGGTCTGATAACGAATGAAAAATTCATCACGATTGAGATCGAGACGGATGGGTGGGGCCTTTCATTTGGTTTTCTTTTTTCTTTAATACATGTTTTTTTTTTTTTTATAACGCGATTACTTAAGAACATATTTCACATGGTGATTTCTCGTAGAAAAATAAGGATTTTACAATTAATCTCCGCTTCTCGACTTACGATGAATAAAAAAAATCATCAGAATTGTGATAGGGTGGGTGGGTGGGGCTTACATTTTGCCCTTTTTTTAACATACATAGCCATCTTTTCACAACAAGAAACTTAAATCATGGTTAAAATGGTACGTTTCTGCAAGGAAATATCGATATTTCCTTATACAAATTTTCCATTTTAAACATTTTAAGTTTCATGTTGTGAAAAGAAGTCTAGACGTATTGAAACAAAAAGAAAAAATATAAGCCCGCCCACCCGCCCTATCTCAATTGTGGCCAAGTTTAACTGCAAAATACTTATTTCATTACAAGAAATTAAAATCATGTTCTTGAGTATCGTGTTGTTCAAAGAATACTATGCATATTAAGAAAAAAAGTCAAAATATAAACCCCGCCCACCCACCCGTGATTTTTCAAATTTTTCAATTTTTCGTTTTCAGTTTTCGATTTTTTGTTTTTAATTTTTTGATTTTTCAAATATTTCTATCTTCAGTTTTACGATATGCAATTTTTCGAGCTTTCAACTTCTTAATGTTTCAATTTTTCGTTTCTTCAGTTATAGTTCTTAATTTTCCGTTTTTTAAGATTTCTCAATTTTTCATTTCTCTTTAACTTTTCGAGTATTCAATTATTCGATTTTTCAACTTCTGAAATTTCCAATTAAATTTTAATTTTTCGTTCGTTCAATTATTCAAGTTTTCACTATCAAAATTATGATTTCTTAACTTCCGAATTTTTCAAACTTTCGTCTGTACAATTTTACGATTTAGAATTTTTCAATTTTTCGTTTCTTCAGTTCCCTAATTTCTGCATTTTAAGTTTTCAACTTCTGAATTTGTCAATTTTTCGCTTCTTCATTTTAGTTTTTAATTTTAATTTCGTTTGTTCAATTTTTAAAATTTACGATTTTTCCGTTTTGAATTATTTTGTATCTTTGCTTATGTGAGTTTTCAATTTTCCGATTTTTCAACTTTTGAATTTTTACATTTTTCCTTGTCCAGTTTTTAGATTTTAAGAATTTTATGTTTTTAATGTTTCAATTTATTACTTTTCAATTCTTGAATAATTGAAAAGTTCAATTCAACGGTTTTGCTTTTTTTGTCTTTAAAGATTTATATACACATATTAAAATAAAAATGTTAAATTGAAGCCCGCCCACCCGCCCGATCTCAATTGTGATGATTTTTTTATTCGCCGTTAGCCAAGGGGGCGGAGCATAACTGCAAAATACTTATTTCTTTACAAGAAATTAAAAACATATTTTTGATTACCGTGTTTAACGAATACTATATACATTAAGAAAAAAAGGTAAAATATAAACCCCCCTCAATTGTAATGATTTTTTTATTCTTAGAAACCTAAAACACGTTTAAAATGGTAAATTTTTGTAAGGAAATATGGATTTTGCAATTAGACCCCGCCCCTAGGTCAACCAACGAATGGAAACTTCATTATCATTTAGATGAGGGCAGTATGGGTGGGGCTTAATCTTTGGCTTTTTTTTTTGTTAATATACGTAGAGAAATAAGGATTTTGGAGTTAAGTTCCGCCCTCTTGGCTCACGACGAATAAAAAAAATCATCACAATTGCGATAGGGCGGGCGGGCGGGGCGCACTTTTTACCTGTTTTTCTTAATATATGCAGATTTATTTCGAAAACAAGAAACTTAAAACATATCTATAATGTTAAATTTTTGTAGTAATCAACGTAAATCCCCCACTTTTCTTGTACAACCCTTTGTATGTATTTGTTCATCCCTCCTAAAAAAATTGATGACGTCACCCTTAAATTTTGCTGAATAAATCCTATCTAAAATGCAAAAAAGATGATGAGTTTGTACTTGTGATTTATCATTCCATTCATATTTTTTAGATTTCCTTAAGAGGTGGCTCAAAAAAAATTAATGAAGTCAATTTATTTTATTGATTAAATTAAAGGCAACACTTATTATTAGTATTACACCCCAACCAACCCAATTTGGTAGACACAAAATTTGTTAAAGGAAAAACTCGGTTGAAACATAAGGGTAGCACGCTTATTTACATCGACTTTAACATTACAGACCTGCATTTGTTTCATGCGCTCACTTGGTTCCGCGAATGTGGAATAGACATGTTTATAATCAACCAATTGTGAATTTCACCGTCAAGAATTAAAATAAAACCCAATGTTTTATATAAAAAGCGGAAGTCGAAGCAATAAAACCGACGGTCGTTTTGTTTACAGTTTCTCTGTTTGACTCTCACGTATGCTGTTACGCTTGTCATCTTAAATTAAGAATGTTTATACATACACGATTTTCAGTTGCCTCTGATACGTATACGTGAGTAAATTGTTTCGTTATTTTATTGATTATTACAAATCAATATTCAAAACGACCCAATTCATTTTCCCGAAAATTTGAGAATATAATAATTTTATTCTTAGTATTACACTACATCTATCCCAACTGATATACGTGTCCTTGCAAAAATGTTGATGACGTCATCGCAATTTTTTTTAAATTCCCACTACAAAAATGTCTAAACTCTTTAGACCAATTTTTTTTTATTAAAAACTGAACACGGATTCATAAACCACATGTGACGGAGTATATTATTTTATAAAACTGAAATAATATTTACTAATGACATTTTGGAGAGGACGTCAGGACGTAGAAAAAAAATTGTGAGTATCATTACCGTCACCGTCGGTCGTATCTCCTTCGGGGGACTCTTCTCCTTCTCCTTCCCCGCCTTCGATATCTGCTCCAAGAAATTGGCCGTCGTGATTGGCTTGTTCGAATTCTTGCTCGCTTCCGCCATCCCCACCACCGCATTGATCAGCTGTTCCAACTCCGCTTGCGTCACATCCGTCTTCCCCTGCAGCACCAGCGCGTTCGCAATCTGCCTCGCGATCGCCGCCTTGTCCACCGTCCCCACCCCCGGCACCTTCAACAACAACAACATTAACCAACCGCGCACACCAAACTCCCCCACTCACCTTCACCGGGTCCACCTTCGGCGCGCTCTTCTCCTTCTCCTTCTTCCTCTCCCCCGCCATGTGTATCAGACTCGCCGTCTTCTTGATCGCGTTCTTGAACGCCTTCTCCTGGATGGGCTCGACCAACCCGGCCAGCAGCTGCCCCTTCAACTTCTCCTTGACCGTCTCGAACATGACGCAATTCACCTCGTTGTCGAGGAGGTTCTCCGAGCTGTTGGCCTCGCTCTTCTCCATGGCCAGCGCCTGCGCCAGAAGGTCGATGATCTTCGGGCCGAGCGAGCCCAGCTTCTCTTCCAGCGCGGTGAGCAGGCGCAGCACCGCCACCACGTTGATCTCGCCGTCGTCGTCCTCCTCGACGGGCGCGGCGGCGGGCGGCGGCGACAGCACCGGCTCCCGAGTGACGTCGCGCATCACCGCCGGCGGCTTGTAGTAGGCGGGGATCTCGTTGCGGTAGTTCTTGACGCGGTCGCGCTCCCACGGCAGCTCGCTGATGATGCGGATGCGCTCGCGCCGGTACTCCTTGAGCTTGTAGTCGCGATCCCAGCTGCGCTCGCGCGAGCAGCGCTCGGGACGGCGAGGACTCCTACATTAAATGGGTTTTATTAATGTTGCAGTTGCTTTTATAGTTGAAAATTGTCATTTATAAACTCCGTTGTCAAGTTGCCCTTAATAGTAACTTTGATGTTCAACTTTTGCCCCATTTAAAGGGTTGTACAAGAAAAGTGCGGGATTTAAGTTGATTACTACAAAAAATAACCATTTTAGATATGTTGTAAATTTCTTGTTATCGAAATAAGTCTGCACATATTAAGAAAAACAGGTAAAATGTAAGCCCCGCCCACCCACCCTGTCTCAATTGTGATGATTTTTTTATTCATCGTGAGCCCAGAGGGCGTAGATTAACTGCAAAGTCCTTATTTCTCTACGTATATTAACAAAAAAAAGCCAAAGATTAAGCCCCACCCATACCGGCCCTCATCTAAATAATAATGAAGTTTCCATTCGTTGGTAGACCTAGGGGCGGGGTCTAATTGCAAAATCCGTATTTCCTTACAAAAATTTACCATTTTAAACGTGTTTTAGGTTTCAAAGAATAAAAAAATCATCACAATTGAGATGGGGTGGGTGGGCGGGGTTTATATTTTACCTTTTTTTCTTAATGTATATAGTATTCTTTAAACAACACGGTAATCAAAAATATGTTTTTAATTTCTTGTAAAAAAACAAGTATTTTGCAGTTAAGCTCCGCCCCCTTGGCTAACGGCGAATAAAAAAAATCATCACAATTGAGATCGGGCGGGCGGGCGGGCGGGCGGGCTTCCAATTAACCTTTTTATTTTAATATGTGTATATAAATGTTTAACGACAAAAAAAGCAAAACCGTTGAATTGAACTTTTCAATTATTGAAGAATTGAAAAGTAATAAATTGAAATATTAAAAACATAAAATTCTTAAAATCTAAAAACTGGACAACGAAAAATGTAAAAATTCAAAAGTTGAAAAATCCGACAATTGAAAACTCTCACATAAGTAAAGATACAAAATAATCCAAAACTGAAAAATCGTAAATTTTAAAAATTGAACAAACGAAATTAAAATTAAAAACTAAAATGAACAAACGAAAAATTGACAAATTCAGAAGTTGAAAACTTAAAATGCAGAAATTAGGGAACTGAAGAAACGAAAAATTGAAAAATTCTAAATCGTAAAATTGTACAGACGAAAGTTTGAAAAATTCAGAAGTTAAGAAATCATAATTTTGAGAGTGAAAACTTGAATAATTGAATACTCGAAAAGTTAAAGAGGAATGAAAAATTGAAAAATCTTAAAAAACGGAAAATTAAGAACTATAACTGAAGAAACGAAAAATTGAAACATTAAGAAGTTGAAAGCTCGAAAAATTGCATATCGTAAAACTGAAGATACAAATATTTGAAAAATCAAAAAATTAAAAATAAAAAATTGAAAACTGAAAACGCAAAATTGAAAAATTTGAAAAATCACGGGTGGGTGGGCGGGCTTTATATTTTGCCTTTTTTTCTTAATATGCATAGTATTCTTTGAACACGATACTCAAGAACATGTTTTTAATTTCTTGTAATGAAATAAGTATTTTGCAGTTAAACTTGGCCACAATTGAGATAGGGCGGGTGGGCGGGCTTATATTTTTTCTTTTTGTTTTAATACGTCTAGACTTCTTTTCACAACATGAAACTTAAAATGTTTAAAATGGAAAATTTGTATAAGGAAATATCGATATTTCCTTGCAGAAACGTACCATTTTAACCATATTCTAAGTTTCTTGTTGTGAAAAGATGGCTATGTATATTAAGAAAAAAAACAAAGGCAAAATATAAGCCCCGCCCACCCACCCTATCTCTATTCTGATGATTTTTTTTTTATTCGTCGTGAGCCAAGGGGCAGAACTTACCTGCAGAATCCTTATTTCTTAACGAGAAATTAAAAACATCTTTTGTTCAAAGAATACTACGAGTATGTATATTAAGAAAAAAATAAAGCCAAAGATTAGGCTCCACCCATACCTGCCCTGATTTAAATAGTAATGAAGTTTTCATTCGTTGACAGACTTAGGGGCAGTGCCTACTTGCAAAACCCATATTTCCTTACAAATATTTATTATTTTGACCGTGTTTAAAGTTTCTAAGAATAAAAAAAATCATCACAATGGAGATGGGGTGGGTGGGCGGGGTTTATATTTTGGCTTTTTTGATTACTATACATAGAATTCCTTGAACAACATGATACTCAAAAACATGTTTTTAATTTCTTCTAAAGAAATAAGTATTTTGCAGTTAAGCTCCGCCCTCTTGGTTCAAGGCGAATAAAAAAAATCATCACAATTGAGATCGGGTGGGTGGGCGGGCTTAGAATTTCCTTTCACAAATGTACCATTTTAACAATAATTTAAGTTTCTTGTTGTGAAAATATGGCTATGTATGTTAAGAGAAAAAAAAAAAAGACAAAATATAAGCCCCGCCCACCCGCCCTGTCTCAATTCTGATGATTCTTTTTTATTCGTCGCAAGCCGAGGAGCAGCGCTTAATTGTAAAATCCTTATTTTTCTACGAGAAATCACCATGTGAAATACGTTTTAAATAAAAAAAACCCTACATGTATTAATGGAAAAAAACAAAACAAAAGAGAAGCCCCACCCATCCCTCTCGATCTCAATCGTGATGAATTTTTCATTCGTTGTCAGATCGAGGGGCGGAGCGTAATTGCAAAATCGATATTTCCTTATCAAAATTTACCATTTTAAGCATGTTTAAGTTTCTTGTCGTGAAAAGATGACTACACACACAAGTCTAATTGCAAAATTCATATTTCCTTACAAATATTTTCCATTTTAAACGTATTTTACGTTTCCAAGAATAAAAAAATCATCACAATTGAGAAGGAATGGGTGGGCGGGATTTATAGATTGATTTTTTCCTTAATATACATATTATTCCTTGAATAACATGATACTCGAAAACATGTTCTTAATTTCTTGTAAAAAAATAAGTATTTTGCAGTTAAACTCCACCCTATATATATATTTTCCCTTTTTATTTTAATATGTGTAGATTTCTTTTCACAACATGAAAGTTAAAATATGTTTAAAATTGAAAATTTGTACAAGGAAATATCGATTTTGCAATTAGACTTCGCCCCTAATGCCAAAATCCATATTTCCTTACAATAATGTACTATTTTAACCATGTTCTATGTTTCTTGTTGTGAGAAGATGGCTGTCTATTAAGAAAAAAAAAAAAAAAGAAGCGACATATAGGACCCGCCCACCCACCCGATCTCAATTGTGATGATTTTTTTTATTCGTCATGAGCCGAGGGGGCGGAGCCTAATTGCAAAATCCATATTTCCTTACAAAAAGTTTCCATTTTAATTGTGTTTTAAGTTTCTATCAATAAAAAAATCATCACAATAGAGATGGGGTGGGCGGGCGGGGTTTATATTTTTCTATTTTTCCTTACTATACATATATAGGATTCTTTGAACAACACGATACTCAAGTTGCCCTTAATAGTAACTTTGATGTTCAACTTTTGCCATATTTAAAGGGTTGTACAAGAAAAGTGGGGGATTTAAGTTGATTACTACAAAAATTTACCATTTTAGATATATTTTAAGTTTTTTGTTATCGAAATAAGTCTGCACATATTAAGAAAAACAGGTAAAATGTAAGCCCCGCCCACCCGCCCTATCGCAATTGTGATGATTTTTTTCATTCGTCGTGAGCCAAGAGGGCGGAGCTTAACTGCAAAATCTTTATTTCTCTACAAGAAATTAAAAACATGTTTTTGCGTACCGTGTTCTTCAAAGAATATTATGTATATTAAAAAAAAAAGCCAAAGAATAAGCTCCACCCACACCTGCCCTCATCTAAATAGTAATGCAGTTTTTATTCGTTGACAGACCTAGGGGCGGGGTCTAATTGCAAAATCCATATTTCCTTACAAAAATTTACAATTTTAAACGTGTTTTAGGTTTCTAAGAATAAAAAAATCATTACAATTGAGATGGGGTGGGTGGGCGGGGTTTATATTTTACTTTTTTTTCTTAATGTATATAGTATTCGTTAAACACGGTAATCAAAAATATGTTTTTAATTTCTTGTAAAGAAATAAGTATTTTGCAGTTAAACTTGGCCACAATTGAGATAGGGCGGGTGGGCGGGCTTATATTTTTTCTTTTTGTTTCAATACGTCTAGACTTCTTTTCACAACATGAAACTTAAAATGTTTAAAATGGAAAATTTGTATAAGGAAATATCGATATTTCCTTGCAGAAACGTACCATTTTAATCATATTCTAAGTTTTTTGTTGTGAAAAGATGGCTATGTATATTAAGAAAAAAAAAGGCAAAATATAAGCCCCGCCCACCCACCCTATCTCTATTCTGATGAATTTTTTTATTCATCGTAAGTCGAGAAGCGGAGATTAATTGTAAAATCCTTATTTTTCTACGAGAAATCACCATGTGAAATATGTTCTTAAGTAATCGCGTTATACAAAAAAAAAAAAAAACTACATGAATTAATGAAAAAAGAAAACCAAATGAAAGGCCCCACCCATCCGTCTCGATCTCAATCGTGATGAATTTTTCATTCGTTATCAGACCGAGGGGCGGAGCCTAATTGCAAGATTGATATTTCCCTATAAAAATTTACCATTTTAAAAGTGTTTTAGGTTTCTAAGAATAAAACAAATCATCACAATTGAGACGGAGTGGGTGGGCGGGGTTTATATTTTGCCGCTTTATCTTAATGTGCATTATATTATATAAAATATAAGCCCCGCCCACCCGCCCGATCTCTATTCTGATGATTTTTTTTATTCGTCGTGATTCAGCTTAATGCAAAATCCTTGCTTCCCTAGAAGAAATAAAAAACACGTTTTTGGGTATCGTGTTGTTCAAAAAATGAAACAAGAAAAAAGAACTCAATACTTAAGCCCCACCCATATCCATTGCAAGCTCAATTGAGATGAATTTTTAAATGGCTTAATATTAAGTCAACCCGAAAAATGGTCCGTATTTTAGGGGATTTTCCTTTACGTTGGCAGCACTACACACCCCCGCAATTTGATTGGTCAACGCCAACGGTAAGTTTGTAAATCGACCTTTAGTGAACAAATTATAGGTACCTGGGACTTCTGCTGTATCGCTCCCGTTCAACTCTCCTGGGGCTCCTGACCGACCTCTCCCTCGACGTGGTCCGTTCGACCCTCTCCCGACTCAAGTCCCTACTTCTATCCCTATCCCTATCCCTGCTCTTACTCTTACTCTTCTCCCTGGACACTCTGACCACCGGCTCGTCCTCCCACGGGCTATGCGACCTCCTAGACCCCTTATCGTCGTCCCTATCGTCAATCACGATCACCTCGGGGTCGTGGTCGGGCATCGCCGACGGCGGCACCGGCTTATTACCCATCGGACTCCCTTTAGTCTCGAATTTTTTCTTCCCCATGATTTTGAAACAAATCGGTTGGGGTTCCTCCGGCAGCCCCAACCTCTTCCTCAACGCGTCCTTCTTCACCTTCACCTTAAAACCACCCAGGTCACACTTTACGGTCACGCTTTACCACGACCCCCACGGTCTTACCTCCTCCTGGTGCAGCTCAATCATGCGCTTGTTCCAAAACTCGATCCACTCCGGCTTGAAGTCGTGCGTGGACACGTCCTTCGCCTCGGCCTGCAGCTCCTTGTAGCGCTTATTCCAGAACTTCTTCCACTCGTCGTTGTACTGCGGGTGCTTCTCTGGGTTCTTCTTGTGGTTCTTGAGGACGCGCTCCATGTCGTTATCGATCGCTTTACACAACTTCTTGTATTCGTCTAGCTTGTCCGTCTTGGATTTGGACGGAAGAACCGGGGATTTGGGGCGGCGGTAGTTGGATTTTTCCCACGGCATCAAGTTGCGTTCGCGGTCGCGGGTGTAGTCGCGGTCGTCGCGACGATAATAGTTTTCTTTACGTGGTGGAGGCGATCGTCGCTCGTATCTGGGTACAACGAAACGAAAATTAATCCTACCGACTGCGCCACTTTCGCAACACTCTTGCAAATTACCGTCTGCTATAAGGACTTCTACTGCGGTTCCTGTGGGGCGACCTGGACCTCGTCCTCTTGCTGGGTTTCTTCTCCTTGGGCTCGTCGTAGTCGCTCATATCGCTACTAGTGATACTCGAAACGCTCGACAATGAACGGCGACGGATACTAGTAGCCGGGGCGGCGCTAGAACTCGGCCCGCAATGCCGGATTTTCTTAATCGGGTTGGCGACGACCGGAGGGGAAGGACTTTTCTTCCTCTGAGCTGTTTGGGGAAGATTCGCTTTATTGTAACCATACTTATCAATTACATCATCTAAAAAAATCCGTAAAAAACGTAATTTTTTTAGAAAGTAAACGAAACGCGTTTCTTACCTTCATGGACTTTAGTTAGTTCGTTTTTATTGACTAACTCTTCAAAAGTGTACCCCGAGAGTTCGGAAAAGTGCCGCCCTTTCGCTATCAGTTCTAAATAGTGGACGGGATCCTTCTCGTACTTGTCAGCATCGACAGGAAGCGGTTTTAATCGTCCGAATTTCTTTTCAATCGCTTCGGCGATTTCGTGGAGCGCGATTTGCCAATTTCTCTTGTATTGTTTGGTCATGTAGGGAGCCAACGCTCGGTAACAAGTAGGAAAGTGCTTCTGTAAATACTAGAAAAACAAAGACAGTGATACCAACCAAAGTTTCGTCGGTCGTACCTGTAGAATATGCTTGTAGCTCGCCAGGTGTGTCAAAACCGTCCTGGGATCCCCCTTTTTGTCGCACAGGATGCACAAATAAGTCGGTTCCTTCGTCGCATCGTAGTCCCTCAATTCTAGTAAATACTCCAAAGCCACCAAAGGGCCTACGTTAAACACGTCGAGCCGCTCCTGAAAATCATGAATAGTACGATGATACAACAATCTAGTCGATTTTACTTGTATCAAGGCGACTTTCTCGATTTGTCCTTCGAAGCCCGGGGGCACGGGTTCTCCGGGTGCGATTTGGATTGTTGGGGTTTCGTCCACTTCAGACAGCGATGGGAATCTCTCAGGGTTTTGGTTCCCCAAGGCCATCGAGTGTCGCTTGCCGTTTTCATGGTGGAAGACCCAACCCATGACGGGGCACGCGCATGCGTTGCAGTACCAGTGCTCCGTCCCATTGATGTACTTGAACTCGAACACGTTGCCATATTTACCGTTCGGTAGAACGGCTTTGACGTTGAGCAAGCGTTCCCGTTCCTTCTCCTGGAAAATCCAAGCATGAGAACTGCGTAGCGAAAACACGAACCAGCATCAATAAGAGTCATCAGAGAAAGCAGTACTTTATTTTCGGACATCGATTCTATTTTCAAACAGTGTAATAGTTTTCAACAAAGCTTGTTGAAGCGCTTCACGTCACGCGCGACAATTGTGGCGAAATGCCACAATTTGGTACAAAAGGAAACTACCACAAATCACCCACAACAACCGCGTCTTTTGGAAAAATCAAAAAAAGGAGGCGTTCCTTGGCGCGCAATAGTACAATACTTACCTGAGCGAAAATAAATCAAACATTAAGAATGATTTGACTACTTTTTTACCTGTTTGGTCGAGGCTGAAAAATTTACGGGGGGTTCATCTTCGGTGCCCGGAGCGATGGGTTCCATATCACAATTCACTACAAACACTTCTTAACTAAATCACTTCTCTGGAAAAGAAAATCACGGCATCAATGGTTGATTTGGCGAAAGGGGGGTCGTTCAGTTTTAAAGTGTAACTTACCGTGGTTCGGACGATTCAAATTTCCCGCCACAAGCACAACACAAGATGGCCTCCCATCATTGCTGCTCATTTTGAAAATCAATCAATAATCGAAATGTTTGCAATTATTGCATTGCGAAATGAGGGCAAAGTAAATAATTTGTTCAAAAAATAAAAGTAAACATGTTCGGGAGAACGTAAGAGCGTTAAACACGAGATTTTGGGACTTTACCTGGAAAAGGAACCCGGAAACGGGGGTTTGGCTCACCTGGGGTTGAAGCGTCTCGGGTTGACTCGGGTGCTCCAAATTTCCGGTTTTGGGGCGGATTTTGCACGAATTTGACGATTTTCACTCAAGCCATTGAAGAGGTAAATGACATTTGCTCGATGACCCGTGCCAACCTAACGACACAAACAAACCCCAAACTTTAAAAACAAACACAATCGACACATTTTCATTTTTATTTATTAATAAACATAGAAATAAACGACAAGCTTAATCAAAACTTGTTCATGATTTTCGCATAATCGCACGTGAATTCCATCGAAATAATGTCGTTAGTTCGTAAAATCGCTTTGTTGATGGGGACAGGCAACGGAGTCACTAAATTCTCAACAATCACATTCCCGAAATTCGAATCGACGGCTTTTATGTGGCATTTCACATTCGTGTTTTCGTACATGGTAACATTACACTCCCCCATACCTGCCACTAAAACCAACCAAATTAACACAAGAAAACACAAAAAATTACATAAATACCACACAAATTCGACAATAAATATAAATACCGCTCGCGCATAAAAGCCATCGCTTCTTGTTCCTCGGTCTCCGAGTCCGACTTTACTTCAATTTTACTCCCTTGTGCCATTTCAAACTTGAGGTTTGAGGTTATGTGACTCAGTTGGCGCCCTTGCCTGTCAACGTCAAAATTATCAGTAAAAAATGGCCGCCCTTATTAATCACTCGGTGCGAAGATTTTTGCAAACCTCCGCCCGTAGGGCTGCGGGCCCCCGAGTGGAGGGTCCATCGGCGGTTAGCGGGGGCCACGAAGGTACTGTTTCAGGCGATTTTGTGTTCAATGTAAAGTTAGGTTAAAGGTGTTACATAACCATTCCTTCCCTTCTAGGGGGCTTCAAGATTTGGAAGAACATTTCTCTGTTCCTTGCATTGCCAGCGATTGGGCTGTGCGCTGTTAATTGCTATCTGGCGCACGTGAATGAGGGCCATGAGAGGCCACCTTTCGTCAAGTATGACTACCTGAGGCTGCGTTCCAAGAGGTTCCCATGGGGCGACGGGAACCACAGCCTTTTCCATAATCCTCACACCAACGCACTGCCCGACGGCTACGAGGATGATCACCATTAAATGAGTTAAATGTTCTAGTTCTGTGTAATTTTTGATTAATAAATTAATAAACCTTGGTAGAAGTTACAGAGTGTTTCATTTTTGTATCAATAATAAATTAATACTAAAACACTGGAAGTGACCCTTATTTAGTAAGGTGATACGGATCAATAATCACCTTATGGGAATCCGGAAGTGTATAAAACCACGCTCTCCACCACATTTTCACCCTTATTGTGTCTTTTAGGGGTTAAACCCGACACTCTAGCGTTATTAAATCGATATAAACCCATACTTTGTTGCTAGGTTCGAAAAATGAGCCGAACCTCAAGAACTGGGTTGATCGCCAGCCCTACAAAAAAAATCTACAGGCGAGAACCGGTACGTTACCCCTTTTGTAGTCACCCCTTAATATCCCCTTTAAGGTGTCAAGAATCCAATTAAGGGCGATAGCACGTCCTGCGCCCTTCGTCCTAAAACCCTTTGCCGGTCTCTACAACCCTTATCCGTACGGCTGTTCGCTTTTATGCAACCACCCGACGGACAACGAAGCGAAAGAACTCCTAAAAAAGGCGAAAGATTCCTGGGTAATTGGAAAAAATGTTTGGCACGGGATAAAACAGGATTTTTAGGCATCAGATGGTAAAAATTTGCTTCTGGCGGAAGAAATCGAGGCGATCAGAGTGGGCTTGGAGCAGTTTCAAAGCGTGACTAAAGACACCCTTAAGCCGATTCAAAAGGGGGTTGAGAGTGTCCCTGAGGAACTTTTCCGGCGTTACACTGACACGGATTCGCGGCCTTTAACCCCCGCCCCCACTTTAGCGAGTGCGGCCACTAGGGCGTCCGGTTCCAGACGCTGCGTCACGCCTGACCCCCTTTCCACCAATCAGATTCGAGAGAAGACCCTCCTCATCCTCGATTTGAGGCGGAGTCACAGCCAGGTACACGCCCTCCAGGGTTGGGCAAAATACACTTTCCACTGTAATTGAAATACAAAATACAAAATACTTCAATTTAATGTATTTGAAATACAAATTACAAAATACATTTATGTCTTGTAGTTGAAATACAAAATACAAAATAGTATTTCAAATACTTTTAAAAATACAAAATATGTTCAGAACAGTGGCAAAAATAAAATTTTGATAGAAGCTCGTTCATAAAAATTTTAAAGTTAACTGTCAGAATTCTTTCACTATCTTTATAAGTTGGCCCCAAAGACTTCAAATATATATAGACTGGCTGTCACCCTAAATTCTATTGTATTTCGTGAAGCAGTTCTGTCAACAGAAATCGCCGCCATTGCTGTTACTTTTCTGTCACTAATAACACCGCAACTACCCATACCCATAACCTATTTCTTTTTTATGTATCACTTTCAGTTGTGACGTGGATGTGATCACAGTTTCTTTGGTTCTTTTGATCGTGTTTCCGTGCATTTAAGATTCAGCAATTATAGTGTTGTTGAAGTTTATTAGTTTGTGTGTGTATAGTGTGCAAACTCACTATTCATATGAAGTCGATTGTATACGATTTTAAACTTCCCGCGGTTTCGGTCACATCCAAAATGGCGACCGGTTAGCTTCAGCTTTTTCGTTTTATCGCCGGTCTTTATATATTTGAAGTCTTTGGTTGGCCCTGTATGTTACATTCCATGTCCATCTAGTGTCAATTTGTCGAAAGTAAAACGCGTCGTTAAAAATATTGTGACATTTCTTCTAGTTAATTTTATTCCTATATTCCTATTAGTTAGAACCAAACACTGCTGCCAACATAAATTGCGAAGTTCTCAACCGTCATTTAATTTAAACTATGGCGCTTCTCTATGTTCTCTGTTACAACCCAAAGTCATTTAATAGATTTATATTCTCTATTAACTAACCTTGGTTACAACCATAGAATATCCTGTTACTTCTCGAAGTACACGAACATACACGATCGCAAAACTGTTGTAATGAGTAGTTTGATAAAATGTATTTCAAGTAATTGAAAATACAAAAATACAAGTTAAAATGTATTTGAAATACAAAATACAAAATACATTTGTGTCATGTATTTGAAATACAAATTACAAAATACAATTGTATTTCAAATACTGTATTTCAATTACAAGTAGTTCAAATAGTGCCCAACCCTGACGCCCTCAATAAAACACAGTTTGGTCATTTATTCATTGTTTAGTGACGTGTGTATAAATTAATAGCGATTATGTACAACTGGAATAGAACCACCACCGTAAGTAGTACGTGAGTACGTGTATATACAATAAGTAGGCGGGGCCGTGTTATTCCTCGCCGCCATTAATACTCATTTCCTCCTCCCCCAACAACACGGTTGGCTCCGTGAACACTCTACCTTTGACGCGACTTTCAAGCTCCTCCCCTTCGTACGACAACAACGGCGAGATTTCCACCTCGCGCGACATAACCACGCCCCCCGCCCCCTCAATATACGTCCTATGCAAAGCCAACAAGTCCTCGCGAGCAGTCTTAGGACAGTCCTTCCCCACCCCATCGTCGTTCTTCATTGCACTAAACTCACTCCCTCTTGGCACCTCCCACGTGACGAACCTATCACTAAACTGAAACACGTCGAACACGAACTTTTCGATTTTGATCCCATTGGGCGTCGTCGGTTTCACCACGCCCCCATCTCCACCCACAAAAGGGATTTTTTTCTTCGCTACGTGCAACTTCAGCTCTTTGTCGAACTCGTTACTAACTTTTTCGAGAAAACTCGCAGCGAAAAAATGGTTACAAATATTCCCGGCGCTGTAAATCAGGTTGCCTTTTTCGTCCCGCAAGTGGGCGGTTTCTTCCGAGATTTCGCTGTATTCGACCACTTGGAACCGCCCGTTGATTTGGCAGACCACGCCTACGCGCTCTGTAGGCCCCGCCTTTTTCACGACCTTGGCGCCACAATCGCTGCCTTTGTCGATGCAATACCCGACGAAAACCGGGTCGGCCACTTTTGTTAAAATGTTGTCAACACTGTGGGCGTGGATGTACTTGACGCCCCGCCTCCGCATGTCTTTGAGGATGCCGTTTTTTTCCAAAGCGCGGTAAATCCCGCCGTTGCCGTCGGGCGCGAGCGCCACTAGATTCGGGGCTTCGAGAAGTATTCTCCCGTCGAGGTCGAAGCACGGCAGCAGGCCTTGTTTGAACTGAACCACATCATCCGAGTTCAACCCGAAGAAGTTGTGGTCTTTGAGGAACGAGTCGGTCATTTCGTCCGTGGGGCCGCTGGTCATTATATACCACGTCACTTTCCCGCTTTTCCCGGTGTGTTTCTTCGCGAGGTGTTGCACCCTCCGGATGCGCTCGGCCTGGATTTGGAACAGGGTTTTGCCCGAGGGGAGCCCGATGGGGTACATGCCTTTGGGGTAGGTGACGCCGAGTCTGGTGCCTTGCCCCCCGGCCATCAAGAGCACTCCGACTTGTCCGTCTGCGATCGCGGTTAGACCCAAGTTTCGGTACTTTTTTAGCGTTTCGGAGTCGCAGCTTTCTTCGGCTTCGAACTGAGACGGTGGAATGGGTTTCATGTCGTCGGTTTGGGGGGTGTGGGTCATGTACTTCTTCGCTCTTTCGAACAAACCTGTGCACTCGTCTAAATCAAGGCTTTGGAGGTGTTGCAGGAAGTTTTCTTTCTCTTCATCACTAAAACTGGGGAAAAATTGTAAAAGGTGTTCTTGGTTGAGCTGCTTCAGTTTTATTTCGAATTCTTCGAGATTTGCCATCGTGTCACCGGATTATTCGGATTTGAATACGAGGTGCCAGCTAAACACATTTTGACGGCTGGCGGTTGTCAAATAACAAGTGTCAACACTGTCAACAGTGTCAACAGTGTCACTCGGGGCGGGGTAGCGTACGCATAACCAAACTTCCAACAACAATTTTAAGTCGCAATCAATTAATAAATATCCATTTTTGGACCAATCGGTGCAGAAAAAACGTGTTGTTGTATCTTCATCGTACTACACGATTCTTGATTTTTATTTTATTTAATTTAATCGACTACGTGGTGTTTGACGTCGATGACCCTACCCTGGTTAATTGACACTTTAGGAAACGCTGTCATGGCACGGCAGCTCCTCGCTCCAGGAGCCCCCCATCATCCGCATCCAGCGCGTCCCCACTCGAGTGGCCAGCTTCGAGGAAAACGCTTCACCGAAAACCAAGTCCCCGACGCACCTACTGACAAACCCGGGAGTGTCAAGGTCGTCAACCCCTTCGTCCCAAAAAGCCCTAAAAAAGAAACCAAAAGAAAGCGAAGAGGTCCCCAAACCCGAGGAAAAAAAGTCCGACGATGAAGAAGTGGAGGACGAGTGTATCAAGCGGCGGGGGAAAAAACGACGCAAGAAACGGGACGCGTCCAGGGAGCCCCCGGCTTTTCAAACCTCGATTGACCCGGAGACACAAGTAAGACATTTATTGGTGTTATTGTTCATGTAAGAGGGTTTAAAGGTGGCCACAATCGGTCCCGACTCACACAACACGAGCGCCAGGCCTTCGCTAGTCGCTATCACGTCAGATGAGCTCCAGGAGACTATTGACAGAGCGAAAAGTTCGGCTAGAGCGTCGAAATGCTGGGACGTGGACTCGTTTTTGGACGTGGAAATTTTAAAACAGCTGCGGCGCGAACTGAACGAGGAAGTAATCGATAATGAATTTAATTTGAAAGTATAAATTTTTATTTTTGGTGATTGTGTGAATAATTGGGGGTTGTAGAGGCGCACCGCTCTCCAGGAGGCTCTAAAAACCATCCCGAAAGACAAAAGTCACTGTGAAGCCCTAACTAAAGTCCAGAACGAGCTGAAGGTGCCCCCTGTTAACGCTGGTTTGTGGTTGTCTTTGCCGCGCGTTTTTTCGCGATCAAGCGCGCGGTTTGAATTGCCTTTAGACAGTCGGACTTTGGAAACCATGACCCCCTTGGAGTACGTGCAAAACAACGTGGTGATTTCGAGCCCCCGTAAACTCTTATACAATTGTATTTTCAACAAGTTCAAAATGGACGATGTGGAGGTTAAAACGGAACGAAAACTCATAGGGAAAGTAAGTTTTATTTTTTATAAAGTTGGCAACACGATGTTAGTTGTGTTTGAAGGAAATCCAGAGTGCTTTGAATCTCATGATGGGTAAACCAATGACGCCAAAGCAACAAAACTATTTTCACGGTTTGATTGGTTGGGGCGACGATGACGTCATTGATTTTAAGACGTTTTGTGGTTTGTGCGCCCTCTGTGAGCGACTTTTGGCACCCGAGTATTGTGCGCAGTTGCCGGATCGTCGGACCGACCCATGCTATGAGGTGCCACTACCAATTAATTAATAAAAATTGTTTATTTGGGTGTTTCAGATTGAAACTGCAGACTTTGAAGCTCTCACACGAAAATTGTACGCAAAAAAAGTCGACCCCAACTTAGTGGAAATCCTACAGGGTATTAAAACTCGCTAATTTGGCAACACTGTTCAGTCAAAGTCGGTTGAGTCTATAAACGTGACTTTAATGCAATATGTACAACATTGACATCTAATAACTTAAAAACTAACTTAAAGAGGTATCAATATCTATTTTTGTTTGTTTAAATAATTACTATACATCCACAGTTACTGCATGACTCGATGAGACGATACCAAGTTAATAAATTGTCCTATCTGATACATTGTCCAACCTACTGATTATTTAGAATACCGTACTTTTTGTATTGGATTGTAAACACATTCATTCTCGAACCGAAAATAAAAAAATATATAAAACTACCCGAATTCAGCGGTCGGGCGCCAACTCCTCGACCACTTCCTTACTATCACACGTTTCTATCACTTGAACTGAGATCTTTCGACTGGTCGCACAAGCCACTGGGACGTCGTTTGGTTGCTTACGTGAAACCGGTTTGTCGCGTCGGTTTCGGTTTTGTGCGTGAGGTTGATTTTGAAGCATCGTTTTCCTGTTTTGATTGTTGTGACTTCGGCAGTGAAGCGAATACTGTTCGGTTATCGCAGAGTCGTGCAACCGGTTTCTGTGCAACGACGCGTCGGTTTCTGCGTCTCAGCGACTTGTGTTCGTAATCGGAACAATACGTCGTACTGATTGTCGCTTTGTGGTCGCCGCAGGTCGGCGCGAGCAACACAGATGACCCTTTTGCCGAACCAAGGGCTCGGAGTTCCCGCAAAAGGTGTCCTAAGCTAATTTAGGGTTACAATATGGCTACGTATCTACGCTCGCGCCGACTCCTTCGTATCGATGAAGGGACTGAGGAGTCCGCGCCGGACCCAACAATACTGATTTGTTTGTCGTAGAAAAATTATAAAAATTACAAAACGGTGATGTAGGCGGCGCTAGTGTGCGTCGGTTTAAGTAATCGGCCGAAAGTGTGTGAACGCACCTTAACGCTACCAACCTTAAATTACTAGACACGAAAACAACTATATTGCTGTCCTAAACATTGATGCTAGTGATTGTTCATCTCATGGAGTACCGGGTCGGGGGCAGCGCTGCCAACTGTTTGTTTCAATTTGGCACAACAACGACATCTGGGGGATTCCGGGCCACCGACCGGTACTCGGTGGCAAGACGACGAGACTTTTCTTTGCCATCTGGTTATTGGTTAGTCGTTAAAAAAATTATCCCGGATACAATGGCACAAACATCTAGATCACACTCTATACAAAAATGTACATTTTCACGCACAGGCGGTATCGGTCGCTTTTAAAATCCGACCGACTTGGGCAGTGAGGCGTTTTAAAAATGATCGATACTTGACGACAGTTAACCTAGTAAAGGCCTAGCGCATATGAAAATAAAAATCGATAAAAAACACTTTTTACACGGTGGTTATGCGACGTTTTCGCGACGGCCGCGCGCCGCCGCCCGAAAATCCCTAGTCCGGGCGGCGGAGCGCGCGCGCGGCGAAAGGTGAAAGAAATTTTGAAGCGGTTTTCACACTGAGATGGAAGAAAATTCTTCTACATTTACGAGATGAAAATCTCTCAACAATTTAATAACAAGTGAGGAAAATAAATCACCATTTTCACACGAAATTAATCGAAATATATACAAAAATGTACAAAATATTTGATTGAATCTTAACGAAAAAGCGGTGGCGGCGGCCGTCGCAGCGGCCGCCGCCAGCTTTACCCTAGGTAAAATTAAATAATTGAAACAAGCAAGTATTTACAGATAGTGCAGCTGGCATACAAGCTATTCTAGTGACTTATTAGCTTGGTGTTGGTACCAGTGAGACGAACATCTCTGTTCAGGAATATACAGTGTGTCGACAAGAAATCGGCGAGCGCGGCTCGCCGCGCTCGCTGATCCGTTCCCAACGAATAAATTAGAAACAGAATAGAAATAAAAAGGAACCGTTCTGACAACGTAACAATTCAATAATCGAATAAAAAAATAGTTTGATTCTCCGGTTTGTCCTGTGTTGACTAGATTTGTGAAAAGATCGATTGGAATGTGCGTTTTTGCTGCTACGTTCCCAGAACAGCTCGCAAATGATACTACCATTACAAGTACCTGCTCAAAGCAAAATTCTATTCGCATAAATAATATAAATAACGATAATACACTTGTCATGAATTTAAGTTAATACAAATCCGCAACGTACTTCAATATATAAATGTTGCGAGGAGAAATTATCTTATCCTTTTTAAACTTACATTAAAACATAAACTAATAAAAAATAGGGAGCAACAACAATAGTGCCTAGACATTGCAAGAAATTTTTATCTTCGCGAAATCGCTTGTAGCCCGCATTGACTCTTTCCCTCTTCACTGCAGGACTCTTCGCTTTTTAGTTACCGTTTGTGTTACGATGTGCCGCTATTATCGCATTTTTATTGTTCGAATCCGTTCCGTAGATCTTCCCGGCCTTCTTCGCCATGGAACCGAGTAACTCCTGAGACAGCTTGTGAGCAGACTTGAGTGACGTAAGCCATTCTTTTAGGCCTATTTCGTCCTGAAAACACAACAAAGTTTCAAACAATTAAATTATTCAAATTCAAATTAAACGAAAATTACAAATTAATACAGTATTTTGACTTTCACTTTATGGTAAGGAACTAGATCTAGTGACCGAAACCAAAGTACTAAAATAATAAACTTTTTTCTCTTATTTCACTAAAGACTACTTATTTCTATACATGAAAACCACCTGAAAACTACTCCAAAAGTTAAAAGCGGCACCGAGATTCTTACAAACTACTTCAAAAATAAAACAAAAGGAGTCCCCGAGATTGTTTCAACCTAATTCAAAAATCAGATATGAGATTCTTTCAAACTACTTCAAAAACAAAACAAAAGGGGTCCCCGAGATTCTTTCAAACTACTTCAAAAACCAGACACAAAAGGTCCTCAAGATGCTTTAAAACCACTTCAAAAATCAGACACATAAGAGGTCCCTGAGATTCTTTAAAACTACTTCAAAAACCAGACACGGGGAATCCCGAGATTCTTTCAAACTACTTAAAAATCAGACACAAGGGGTACCCGAGATTCTTTAAAACTAATTCAAAAATCAGACACATAAGAGGTCCCTCAGATTATTCAAAACTACTTCAAAAATCAGACAAAAGGGGTACCCGAGATTCTTAAAAACCACTTCAAAAACAAAAAAAAGGGTCCCCGAGATTCTTTCAAACTACTTAAAAAATCAGACACATCAGAGGTTCCTGAGATTATTCAAAACTACTTCAAAAATCAGACACAGGGAGTCCCGAGATTCTTTTATACTATGTACTTCAAAAATCAGAAAAAAGGGGTACCCGAGATTCTTAAAAACTACTTCAAAAACAAAAAAAAAGGGTCCCCGAGATTCTTCCATACTACTTCAAAAATCAGACAAAAGGGGTAACCGAGATTCTTAAAAACCACTTCAAAAACAAAAAAAGGGTCCCCGAGATTTTTTCAAACTACTTCAAAAATCAGACACAGGGCGTCCAGAGATTCTTTTATACTACTTCAAAAATTAGACAAAAGGGATACCCGAGATTCTTAAAAACTACTTCAAAAACAAAAAAAAAGGGTTCCCGAGATTCTTTCAAACTACTTCAAAAATCAGAGACACAAGAGGTCCCTGAAATTTTTTAAAACTACTTCAAAAATCAGACACACAACAGGTCCCCGAGATTTTTTAAAACTACTTCAAAAATCAGACACACAAGAGCTCCCCGAGATTCTTTAAAACTACTTCAAAAATCAGACACAGGGGGCTCCGAAATTCTTTCACACTACTTCAAAAATCAGACAAAAGGGGTAGCCGAGATTCTTAAAAACCCCTTCAAAAACAAAAAAAGGGTCCCCGAGATTCTTTCAAACTACTTAAAAAATCAGACACATAACAGGTCCCTGAGATTATTTAAAACTACTTCAAAAATCAGACACAGGGAGTCCCGAGATTCTTTTATATTACTTCAAAAACCAGACACACAAAAGGTCCCCAAGATTCTTTAAAACTACTTCAAAAATCAGACACAGGTAGTCCCGAGATTCTTTCATACTACTTCAAAAATCAGACAAAAGGGGTAGCCGAGATTCTTAAAAACCACTTCAAAAACAAAAAAAGGGTCCCCGAGATTCTTTCAAACTACTTCAAAAATCAGACACAGGGCGTCCCGAGATTCTTTTATTCTACTTCAAAAATCAGACAAAAGGGGTACCCGAGATTCTTAAAAACTACTTCAAAAACAAAAAAAAAAGGTCCCCGAGATTCTTTCAACCTACTTCAAAAATCAGACACACAAGACGTCCCTGAGATTCTTTAAAACTACTTAAAAAATCAGACACACAAGAGGTCCCTGAGATTCTTTAAAACTACTTCAAAAATCAGACACACAAGAGCTCCCCGAGATTCTTTAAAACTACTTCAAAAACCAGACACACAAGACGTCCCTGAGATTCTTTAAAACTACTTCAAAATTCAGACACATAAGAGGTCCCTGAGATTCTTTAAAATTACTTTAAAAACCAGACACGGGGAGTCCCGAGATTCTTTCAAGCTACTTCAAAAATCAGACACAAGGGGTACCCGAGATTCTTAAAAACTACTTCAAAAACAAAGAAAGGGCCCCGGAGATTCTTTCAAACTACTTCAAAAATCAGACACACAAGAGATCCCTGAGATTCTTTAAAACTACTTCAAAAATCAGACACACAAGAGGTTCCCGAGATTCTTTAAAACTACTTCAAAAATCAGACACAAGGGGTAACCGAGATTCTTAAAAACCACTTCAAAAACAAAAAAATGGGGTCCCCGAGATTCTTTCAAACTACTTCAAAAATGAGACACAAGAGATACCCTTGATTTCCAAAACTACTTCAAAAACATAACAAAAGAGATTCCCGAGAGTCTTTGAAACTACTTCAAAAACCAGACACAAGGAGTGCCCGAGATTCTTTAAAACTACTTCAAAATCCAGATACAAGGGATACCCGAGATTCTTTAAAACTACTTCAAAAACAAAACAAAAAGGGTTTCCGTGATTCTTTCTTTAACACCACTTCAAAAATCCGAGACACGAGAGGTCCCCAAGACTCTTTCAAATTACTTCAAGGAAAAAATTGTTCGAAAGTTGTTTCCCAAGAACTTCCCTTCTACCTAAGTACAATTAAAAATATCCAGCATTTTCGAAAAAAATTAAAAAAACTACATTTGGGTCCTCCGAGAAGAAGAGAAGAACTTTACCCCGCCCACCCACCCTTTCCCTATTTCAGTAATACTTTTCTTTTTGTGGTTAGAAGGAAGGGTGGATCTTACACTGCTGAGGTAAGACTGATTTTGGTAAATATACCTTCCAAGAAAACAAAGGGTGGGTGGGCGGGGCTAGTGCTTGTCAAGGTAAGACTTGATATGGCGAATGACATACCCTCTAACAAATAAAGGGTGTGGGGAGTCAGGTACTTGCTACGATGAGATTGAATAATATTAAGATTAGTTACTCGAATGAAGAAAGTGTGGGTGGGCGGGGCTTGTGCTTACTAAGATAACACTTGATATGGCACATGACAGTGATCCCTGAGATTCTTTCTTTAACACTACTTCAAAAACCAGACACACGAGAGGTCCCCGAGATTCTTTAAGACTACTTTAAAAACAAAACAAAAGAGATTCTTTCAAATTACTTCAAAGAATAAGTTGGTCTAAAGTTGCTTCGAAAGAACTTCCCTCGTACCAAAGTACAATGAAAAATATCCAACATTTTCGAAAAAAATTGAAAAAAATTACATTTGGGTTTCTCGAGAAGAAGAGAAGAACTTTACCCCGCCCACCCACCCCGTCCCCATTTCAGTGACACTTTTTATGTGGTCAGAATGAAGGGTAGATCTTACATTGCTAAGGTAAGACTGATTTTGGTAAATGATATACCTTCCAAGAAAACAAGGGGTGGGTGGGCGGGGCTAGTACTAGTCAAGATAAGACTTGATATGGCAAATGACATACCTCTAAGAATATGAAGGGTGGGTGGGCGGGCGGGCCTAGCATTTACTAAGATAAGGCTTGATATGGCAAATGACAGTGGTCCCCGACATTCTTTAAGACTACTTTAGAAACAAAACAAAACAGGTCCCAGAGATTTTTTCAAATTACTTAAAAAAAAAAAATTGGTCGAAAATTGTTTTCAAAAAATTAAAAAAACTACATTTGAGCTCCCCGAGAAGAGAAGAACCTTACCCCGCTCACCCACGCCATCCCCATTTCAGTGATACTTTTTATGTGGTCAGAATGAAGGGTGGATCTTACACTGCTAAGTTAAGACTGAGTTTGGCAAATCACATACCTTCCAAGAAAACAAAGGGTGGGTGGGCGGGGCTAGTACTTGTCAAGATAAGGCTTGATATGGCAAATGACATACCCTCTAAGAAATACAGGGTGGGAGGGAGGGACTAGTAGGTACTTGCTAAAATAAGTTTGAACACTAGTCATTCGAATGAAGAAGGGGTGGGTGGGTGGGCGGGGCTAGTACTTATTACGATAAGGCTTCATATGGCAAATGACAGTGGTCCCCGAGATTCTTTCAAATTCCTTCAAAGAAAAAAAATGGTCCAAAGTTGTTTCGAAAAAACTTCCCTCACACCTAAGTACAATGAAAGATATCCAGCATTTTCGAAAAAAAAAATTACATTTGGGTTTCCCGAGAAGAAGAGAAGAAATTTACCCCGCCCACCCACCCGGTCTCCATTTCAGTGACACTTTTTATGTGGTCAGAATTAAGGGTGGATCTTACACTGCTAAGGTAAGACTAATTTTGGTAAATGATATACCTTCAAAGAAAATAAAGGGCGGGTGGGCGGGGCTAGTACTTGTCAAGATAAGACTTGATATGGCGAATGACATAGCCTCTAACAAACTAAAGGGTGTGGGGGAGTCAGGTACTTGCTAAGATGAGATTGAATAATATTAAGATTAGTTACTCGAATGAAAAAAGGGTGGCTGGGTGGGGCTTGTGCTTACTAAGATAACACTTGATATGGCAAATGCCAGTGATCCCTGAGATTCTTTCTTTAACACTACTTCAAAAACCCGACACACGAGAGGTCCCCGAAAATATTTAATACTATTTTAAAAAACAAAACAAAAGAGGTCCCAGAGATTCTTTCAAATTACTTCAAAGAAAAAAGTGGTCTAAAATTGTTTCGAAAGAACTTTCCTCGTACCAAAGTACAATGAAAAATATCCAACATTTTCAAAAAAAAATAAAAAAATTATATTTGGGTCCCCCGAGAAGAGAAGAACTTTACCCCGCCCACCCACCCCATCCCCATTTCAGTGACACTTTTTATGTGGTCAGAATGAAGGGTGGATCTTGCATTGCTAAGGTAAGACTGATTTTGGTAAATGATATATCTTCCAAGAAAACAAAGGGTGGGTGGGCGGGGCTAGTACTTGTCAAGATAAGACTTGATATGGTAAATGACATACCTCTAAGAATATAAAGGGTGGGTGGGCGGGCGGGCCTAGCATTTACTAAGATAAGGCTTGATATGGCAAATGACAGTGGTCCCCGACATTCTTTAAGACTACTTTAGAAACAAAACAAAACAGGTCCCAGAGATTTTTTCAAATTACTTAAAAAAAAAAAATTGGTCGAAAATTGTTTCCAAAAAATTAAAAAAACTACATTTGAGCTCCACGAGAAGAGAAGAACCTTAACCCCGCCCACCCACCCGTCGCTATTTCAGTGATACTTTTTTTATGTGGTCAGAATGAAGGGTGGATCTTACATTGCTAAGTTAAGACTGATTTCGGCAAATCACATACCTTCCAAGAAAATTAAGGGTGGGTGGGCGGGGCTAGTAATTGTCAAGATAAGACCTGATATGGCAAATAACTTTTTAACAAAATAAATGGTGGGTGAGAGGGAGTAGTACGTACTTGCTAAGATAAAATTGAACAATATTAAGACTAGTCACTCGAATGAAGAAGGGGTAAGTGGGCGGGGTTAGTACTTACTAAGATAAGACTTGATATGACAAATGACACACCCTCTAAGAAAATAAAAGGTAGGAGGGAGGGGCTAGTGGGTACTTGCTACGATAGGATTGAAAAATATTAAGATTAGTACCTGGAATGAAGAAGGGGGGGTGGGCGGGGCTACTGCTTTGTCATGACTAGAAAAATTGGTTGGAAGTTTTTACTAGAACTTCCCTCGCACCTAAAGTACAATGAAACATATCCAGCATTTTCGAGTTGAGTTTTTCTTTACACAATTTTGCGATGACGTCATCAGTTTTTTCAATAAAATTAATTGACCGAGATGACTGAGTCTATAACCTAAATTTATCGCAAATTACGATTGACGTTGTGTCACATAGTTACTTCCGTTTTGCCAACATAAACGTACGAAAAGTTCACATTTTTTTTTAAGTACTGCCAACATTCTCAGTCGTTCGTTTCTGATCACACGGCTCAATCCGCCCTGAATGCAGGATTTCACCAATTCGTTCGTCAGCTGTGTAATTGGTAATTTCAAAGCAAGCAACAAATTTCGAGTTAATGTTCCGAAACAAGCGACACTATGAAATTAGAAACGAAAGTTCATCTGCTTTGAATGCACGAAACTGGATTTACAACACTTTGTAAACTTATGCAATTCACACTAGCAATTTTCAAATAAACGTCACGCTATGTATTTACTACCGAAAAAGCAAAGGTGGCGCTGCCAGTATCAATGACATAAAAATCCCAAAACAAAAAAGTCCCTAAGTACGTAGCGTCGTTCCTCCAGCCAGCAATTGCCCAGATTAGTTTGTCATTGCGTCGAATTCGCTCAAATTAATATCCAGAATGCTAATGGCATCTGTACGTCGCATTTCAATCTACTAATGGCCGGTTGCGTCACACTGATTTATTAAGATTGAATTAATTAATTGTCCCGGAGTTCTGGATTGAAGTGGCGCCTTAAAAACGCTACTCGAAATGTCAAACAAATGTCAATGCAACTCGATACGCATGATTAAGATTCGCATTTTTATATCGGCGTCGTTCGTTCCGCTTTAATCCGCCTCGAATCCAACAAACACCGTGGTCGACTCGGCCGCGAAAAAACGCGGCACGTCGCAGCTTGATCATCAAACGTCAAAACTGTCAGCGATTCATGAATAAAAAGCCGCGCTTCGACGTGCCCGTCATCGATCAATCCCGCTTTGAATTGCAAATTTTATATAAACACAACTAAATCCGAATTTCTATCAGTAATAGTATCAGCGGCCAACGTTCGTTGGAATGTTATCAAAGGTCGCGATCGTCGGTTATTTTGAATTTCATTCATATCTAAAACCCATTCAGGAGTGCGGAAAAAATGGCCGCCTACGAATTTAAAATGGAGCATCACACGTACCAACAGTGAATTGATGTTTACTGAAATAACAGTTTTCAGGTTCAGTTGAAGTTCGCACGACTGAAGTGACCTTAATAATTATTTCTGTTACTTCGTTAACTGAAGCGTTGCAGTTTTCTCCTGAAATAACAATCTCTGTTATTCCAAACGCTTCTGGCTGTTTATCGGCGATATCTAATTTGACTATATTATATACAAGGCGCCAGCTAGTTTTCCCGCTCTAAAAAAAAATCGATCCAACCCAATTGTTTTCGCATTGACGAACCCTGCAGCGACTAGATAAACACAAATCGTTCAGATTTCACTCAGTCATCGTTGACTTTTTGATAACCATATCGATACCCCTGTTTGCACTCGACATCAATAAACCTCCGCGCCCGAACCCTTTCCAGCACTCACCATAAAATTTGATGGCGCCATTTTTCACGCCGCCCCCGGCCGTTAAAACCGAGTTAAAATATGCACCGCCACTTGCACACGACACACATTTGCCGACTTACCGGATTCGTGAGGACGATCTTGCCGTCCCTCATCCTGACGACGATGCAGTTTTCGTTTTTCACCTGGACGAGCTCGGGACTGACCTCCTCCACCTGGTCCATGAACACCATCTCCGGCTTGGCCGAGTCCGGGTGGAGCTCGAGCCGGTTGGGGTACAGCTTCGCGTACCTCATCTGCCAGTTGGACGTCCACGGGCCGCCGAGCTTCTTGATGTAGCCGTGGAGGATGCAGTCGGACTCTTTCTCGTCGAGGTCGAAGAGCTTCTTCTGCTTGGCTTTCTTCTTGTGCTCGACTTTGTCCGCCTCGAAGTTGATGGTCTCGAAGACGGTCTCGGCGACTTCGTTCTGCCACCGCTCGGAGATGACCAGCGGGAAGTTCTTGTAGAGCTCCTGGTCGGCGTCGGTTAGCTGAGGAAAAATTTTTTGAGGAAACGAAGGAAAAATCGATTGGGGGCGGAACGAAGACATGAAGCGGGAGTCGAACATGGCGACGAAAGCAAATTCCTGCCGTAATTCATACAATGTCAACAAGCGGATCGAGGTGTGTCTTTAAGGGACCACACTTCGATAGCGAGGAAGGGCGGGTAGGGTTTGATCGGAGGTGAATTGGACTTTCGTGACCGACAAAAAATGAAGAGAAATATTTTACCTTAATTCTATTCGAGGTCTCATCAAAAGGTACAAAAATAAAGGAACGATTCGGCGAAATTTATCAAGGAACATTTCTAAAATGAACCCGGAAAACAAAATCCAGGGGGAAAAAGACCAAAATTTTCAACTATGATACGAATTATCAATGGCAACTGGGTCCTTATAGTAAATCCTATAGAATGACCAAAGCTAGTTTCTATTGTAACTCGGATAACGTCGCAAATACCTAAAAGTCCGATTTCTGGGGAGAAAAATTTTGATCCGGTTTTCACAAAATTTGACCCTGCTTCAAATTAAATTCCCTTCGAGGTCTCATCAAAAGGTACAAAAATAAAGAGCAGAGACGGATTGGACTCGAAAAATTAAGCGAAATTGATCAAGGAACATTTCTAAAATGAATCCGGAACCCAAACAAAAAGGAAAAAGACCAAAATTTTCAACTATGATACAAATTATTATCAATGGCAACTGGGTCCTTATAGTAAATCCTATAGAATGACCAAAGCTAGTTTCTATTGTAACTCGGATAACGTCGCAAATACCCAAAAGTCCGATTTCTGGGGAGAAAAATTTTGAATTCGGTTTTCACAAAATTTGACCCGGCTTGACATTAAATTCCCTTCGAGGTCTCATTAAAAGGTACAAAAATAAAGGGCAGAGACGGATTGGACTCGAAAGCTTCAGCGAAATTTATCAAGGAACATTTTTAAAATGAACTCGGGATACAAAACCCAGGGAAAAAAAAAACAAAATTTTCAACTGTGACCTGAAAAATCGTTGGAAACTTAGTCCCAACACTAAACCCTATGGAATAACCAAATTTAGTTTATACTGTAACTCGGATAAGGTCGCAAAAACCTGAAAATCCGATTACGGGGGAAAAATGTTGATCTGGCCCTCGAAAAGTTTGACCCTACTTTACCGGAAAATCCCGTGGTGATCTTAGTAAAAAGGCACAAAAATAAAGGTCAGAGACGGTTTAGACTCGAAAGATTCAGCGAAATTTATCAAGGAATATTTTTAAATGGACTCGGGATACAAAACCCAGGGAAAAAAAACCATAACTTTCAACTGTGACCTGAAAAATCTTTGGAAACTTAGTCCCTACACTAAACCCTATGAAATAACCAAATCTAGTTTGTACTGTAACTCGGATAAGGTCGCAAATACCTGAAAATCCGATTACCGGAGAGAAAAATGTTGATCTGGCTCTCGAAAAGTTTGACCCTACTTTACCGGAAATCCCGTGGCGATCTTATTAAAAAGGTCCAAAAATAAAGGTCAGAGACGGTTTAGACTCGAAAGATTCAGTGAAATTTAAGGCCGCAAATACCTAAAAATCCGTTTTTCGGACAGCAAAATGTTGATTTGGCCCTTGCAAAATTTGATCCCACTTTAGCTTAATTGCTATTGAGGTCTCATTGGACTCAAAATATTCTGCAAAATTACTCAAGGAGCATTTCTACAATGAGCCCGAAAATCAAAATTCGGGAAAAAAGAGCAAACTTTTCAATTGTGATTCGAATAATCAAAGGAAACTTGGTCTCTGGAGTAAATCCTCCAGAATGACCAAAGCCAGTTTCTACTGTAACTCGGATAAGGCCACAAATACCTAAAAATCCATTTTTCGGGGAGAAAAATGTAGATCCGGCCCTTGCAATCTTTGACCAGACTTTACCTTATTTCCCTTCGAGATTTCATTAAAAAGGTATAAAATCAGTTTACCGAGTCGTATTAGATTCAAAATATTCAGCCCAGTTTCACAAGGAATTTTTCTAAAATAAACCCAAAAACACAATTCGGGGGAAAAAAGACCAAAATTTTCAATTATAACCGGACAATCAAAGGAAACGTGGTCCCTGTGGTAAAACCCACAAAAAGACCAAAGCTAGTTTCTACTGTAATTCAGATAAGGTCGCAAATACCGAAAAGTTCGATTTCCGGGGATGTCCGGAGAGAAAAATGGTGATCGGGCCTTCGCAAAATTTGACCCGACTTTATCTTATTTTCCTTCAAGATTTCATCAAAAAGGTATAAAATCAAGGACCGACTCGTATTGGACTCAAAGTATTCAGAGAAATTTCACAAGGAGCATTTCTAGAGTGAACCCGAAAAACACAATTCGAGGGAAAAAGACCAAAATTTTCAATTATGACCTGAACAATCAAAGGAAATTTGGTCCCTAGAGTAAATCCTACAGAATGACCAAAGCTAGTTTCTACTGTAACTCGGATAAGGCCGCAAATACCTAAAAATCCGATTTCCGGGGAAAAAAATATTGATCTGGCCCTTGCAAAGTTTTACTCGACTTCATCTTATTTCCCTACGAGATTTCATTAAATAGGTATAAAATTAAGTACCGAGACGTATTTGACGCAAAATAATCAGCGAAATTTCACAAGGAGCATTTTATGGTGGTCTCGAAAAAACAAATTCCTAGTAAAAAGACCAAAATTGTAAACTGTGACTCGAACAATCACAGGAAACTTGGTCTCTAGAGTAAATCCTACAGGATGACCAAAGAAAGTTTCTACTGTAACTTAGATAAGGCGGCAAATACCTAAAAGTCCGATTTCCAGGGAGAAAAAACGTTGATCTGGCCCTCGCAAAATTTGACCCCACTTTATCTTAATTCCTTTCGAGGTCTCATTAAGAAGGTTCAAAATAAAGTATACAGTCGGATTGGAATCAAGATTGGGTGAAATTTCTCAAGGAACATTTTTACAGCGAACCTGAAAAACAAAATTCTGGGAAAAAAGACCAAAATTTTCAACTTTGACTCGAACAATCAAAGGAAACTTCGTCCCTCGATTGAACCCTATAGAATGACCAAATATAGTTTCAACTGTAACTCGGATTAGGCCGCAAATACCTAAAAATCCGATTTCCGGGGAGAAAAATATTGATCTGGCCCTCGCAAAGTTTTACTCGACTTCATCTTATTTCCCTACGAGATTTCATTAAATAGGTATAAAATTAAGTACCGAGACGTATTTGACTCAAAATGATCAGCGAAATTTCGCAGGGAGCATTTTATGGTGGTCCCGAAAAACCAAATTCCGAGGAAAAAGACCAAAATTGTCAACTGTGACTCGAACAATCACAGGAAACTTGGTCTCTATGGTAAATCCTACAGGATGACCAAAAATAGTTTCTACTGTAACTTAGATAAGGCGGCAAATACCTAAAAGTCCGATTTCCAGGGAGAAAAAACGTTGATCTGGCCCTCGCAAAATTTGACCCCACTTTATCTTAATTCTTTTCGAGGTCTCATTAAGAAGGTTCAAAATAAAGTATACAGTCGGATTGGAATCAAGATTGGGTGAAATTTCTCAAGGAACATTTTTACAGCGAACCTGAAAAACAAAATTCTGGGAAAAATGACCAAAATTTTCAACTTTGACTCGAACAATCAAAGAAAACTTGGTCCCTCGATTAAACCCTATAGAATGACCAAAGCTAGTTTCTACTGTAACTCGGATAAGGCCACAAATACCTAAAAATCCGATTTCCGGGGAGAAAAATATTGATCTGGCCCTCGCAAAGTTTGACTCGACTTCATCTTATTTCTCTACGAGATTTCATTAAAAAGGTATAAAATCAAGTACCGAGACGTATTTGACTCAAAATAATCAGCGAAATTTCACAAGGACCATTTTATGGTGGTCCCGAAAAACCAAATTCCTAGGAAAAAGACCAAAATTGTCAACTGTGACTCGAACAATCACAGGAAACTTGGTCTCTGGTGTAAATCCTACAGGATGACCAAAGATAGTTTCTACTGTAACTTAGATAAGGCCGCAAATACCTAAAAGTCCGATTTCCGGGGAGAAAAAACGTTGATCTGGCCCTCGCAAAATTTGACCCCACTTTATCTTAATTCTTTTCGAGGTCTCATTAAGAAGGTTCAAAATAAAGTACACAGTCGGATTGGAATCAAAAGATTGGGCGAAATTTCTCAAGGAGCATTTTTACAGTGAACCCGAAAAACAAAATTCGGGGAAAAAAGACCAAAATTTTCAATTGTGACTCGAACAATCAAAGGAAACTTGGCCCCTCGATTAAACCCTATAGAATGATCAAAGCTAGTTTCTACTGTAACTCGGATAAGGCCGCAAATACCTAAAAATCCGATTTCCGGGGAGAAAAATATTGATCTGGCCCTCGCAAAGTTTGACTCGACTTCATCTTATTTCCCTACGAGATTTCATTAAATAGGTATAAAATTAAGTACCGAGACGTATTTGACTCAAAATAATCAGCGAAATTTCACAAGGAGCATTTTATGGTGGTCCCGAAAAACCAAATTCCTAGCAAAAAGACCAAAATTGTCAACTGTGACACGAACAATCACAGGAAACTTGGTCTCCAGGGTAAATCCTACAGGATGACCAAAGATAGTTTCTACTGTAACTTAGATAAGGCGGCAAATACCTAAAAGTCCGATTTCCAGGAAGAAAAAACGTTGATCTGGCCCTCGCAAAATTTGACCCCACTTTATCTTAATTATTTTCGAGGTCTCATTAAGAAGGTTCAAAATAACGTATACAGTCGGATTGGAATCAAGATTGGGTGAAATTTCTCAAGGAACATTTTTACAGCGAACCTGAAAAACAAAATTCTGGGAAAAAAGACCAAAATTTTCAACTTTGACTCGAACAATCAAAGGAAACTTGGTCCCTCGATTAAACCCTATAGAATGACCAAAGCTAGTTTCTACTGTAACTCGGATAAGACCGCAAATACCTAAAAATCCG